GATTGGTGGCGAAGTAATTCCATGCGTTTTCCCTACCTTTCCTTAATGGCTAGGGATTTTCTATCGCGACAAAGCACATCCGTAGCAAGCGAGCGTGTCTTCTCGAGAGGGGTGGACACCATTACGAAAAAAAGAAATCGCATGGCGTCAGAAACGTTTAAACAATGTTTATGTTTAAATTCATGGAATGCGAATATCATGAATAATAAATTTTGGACATAATTTTTATATGTATATATATATATTGTTAAATATAAATTTTTGTATGTTAATAAATATCATATATAATTTAAATAAAAATATTTATACTATAAATGTATCAAAGATTTTAGATGTTTTGAGCATAGTGTTCTTGTTTCAGGCTGTTGTTTTTTTATGAATACTGGAGAACATGAGTGATTTAATAATATTTGACTTAAAATTTGTACTAAAATATTGATATTAAGATTTAGAATTTTGAACACTTAAGAAAAATTACACATTAAAATTTATACTGGGATTAACTTTGAACTAATGTTGTCAAAATAGAGCGCTATACTTATTTTCAGACGTTAATTCCCTAAAGTTGTGTTAAATGGCGCGATTTGGCAAATTTTTAAAGCGGTTAATTCACTATTTTATTGAAAAGAATATTACGAGAGCCATTTTTCTAATAGATGGTATAAAGGTCTAGACATCATTTATCGTAATCTGAGGATTAGTCATTATTTTTCTGTCTAAATTATTGACCTGACGGTTTCTAAAAATAGGCTTAAAAGAGTTATTTTACATATAAAATACACATACAAATTATTAAGATATATTTATAAATAATTCTAAAATCTTAATCATTTAAATTAATATTAAGAATCTACATAATCTAGTTACTAAAATAATTTAAAATATCAACGATAGAGATATATATTGAAGATACATTTGGTATAGATAATATATACAAAGTTATTTCCCTGTTACAATGATATGTAATTCCTTCCTGATATCGCATAAATTTTAGTCTCGATAAAAAAATCATAAGGTATTTCATTGTGAGATGTGCAGGTAGGTTTTATCATAACTAATAGCTTCAACGAGGAAATATTTTAATCATAACATTAATGTGTAGTCCTATATTTAATCTTTAAAATAAAATATGAATCAAACATAGATGAATTTATGTGATAGTTAATTTTATGACCCAGTCTCTGACCATAAGATATTTAATAATTATATTTTAAATAAAAAATACATTAAATATATTTATGTGGATGTTTGTTCACCCAAGTTTCAAGCTAAATGACCATATATTAATTAGAGTGAATCTAATACCTCACCAGGGATACCTTAGCTATCTCTAGTATAGAAGATTCTTTTAGAAAAAAATATACTACTGAAAATACTCTAGCCGCTATTTTATAAATCTAAAAAAAATTTAAATTAATATTTTTAATGATTTTTCTATAAAAATTTTATTATATTAAATTAAATAAGAAAGTTTATTTATTCAGATTATACTTTCTCATCGCTAAAGTTGGGGATGACACTATATTATTATTATTAAGATTAATAAAAAAATATATATATTTAATATTTTAATCATATTTATTTTATTTGTGGAAATAGAGATATTTAAAAAAAATTTCGATGTATTGTAAAAAGTGGTTAATAAGAAGCTACTTTATTGAAATAATAGCGGACACTCTTATAAAAACAGGCTTTGAAATACTAATTATAAATAAAATCCGCAAATAAATAAGTATTTATATGAGATAGTTTGCCACCATGAATCTTTTTCTCGGGTTCTTCTACACTAAAATATTAATATAACATGTTTTACAAATAAGATTAGTTTAAAAATAATTATGACTTTTATCACTTTTCTATAGCTTTTATCGAAATTTAAATAAACTAGTTTATAATTTATATTTTAACCATTTTCTTCAAAATATTCCAAATAAATTATCGACTATTTTAATTTTTTCAAGGTTTTTCATCACTGAAAAATTGATTTAACATGTTTACAGTCTATATTTTTATCTATCTGCTTCAATTAAATTGAAAAAAGTTCAAAAATGACGATTATGACAATTGTAACTTTCCTATGGTACATCTTCACTGAAATTTTAATTTAACATGTTTGCAAAATATATTTTTATTTGGCCTTAAAAAAATAAACTTCAAGTCTGAGTCGAAAAAAACAACCAAGCTTCAAGTCTGAGTCGAAAAAAATAACCAAACTTCAAGTCTGAGTCGAAAAAAACGACCCAAAATTTGGGTCAGCTCTGTTCGAGCCGACTCGGCTAAGTCGATTAACAACACTAGCTATAATGCCAAGGTTCTGCGTGCCTATTGTCAGAGCAAATAAATCTCTGCAAGGCAATTTGGTGTGGTTACTTATTTGTTGATATTCTGTTAAAAAAACTAAATTTTGTTGTGGGGGGGGGGACTGGACAAAAGAAAAATTTTGTGGCTAACCCAACTATTAATAGTATTACCCCCAGGCGTCTTGCAGTTGATATAGATATGTTTGAAGACTCTAGAATATTCAGAAACAAGAGATTTGAATAATATCCAATACACATTACCATGATGAATGTGACAGACAACCCAATCTATTACACTAGCTATGGTGGCCATTGTGAGTGTAAACAATTTTCATGATGAATTCGGCTGCCCACCCAATCTGTTACACTAGCTATGGCGGTTATTATGATTGAAAACAATTTAGCAAGTAATGACTTTAAATTCACTAAGAGACACAAGGGATCTACTAAGAAGAGACTGAGTCATTCATAGCAATTTTTTAAGGTCAAGACGTCCTCAGTAGTTGCAGGAGCATCAGTGGGCAAGCCTTAAGATATTTTTGTGGTTTGTCAAAATAATGTCAAAAATTGGGAAGGTGTTAGGGACTACCCAAACTATGATTTGATGGTGGTGTCTAAAAGGCTTTCAGAAGAATTAATTAGTCTTAATATATTTCTGAAGAATAATATAAAGATCAAAGACTTGATAGAGCAATTAATCCTAGATGTACCATTTTGGGAAGAATTGAAACTAAACTGCAGTTTTTATCTGACAAATTAATAGTTAATGGTTTAAAAAGATAGCAATAATTCCGAAATCAAGTAACAGGAAGAAGTTCTCCAAAATAAATTAATTGTATAGACCTTTGTTATATTACTTCCAAAAAATAGGGCTGTGCCGTTTAACATCGGATAGGCTATATTTAGCGTTTTCCAAAAACATTGGATCGGGTTGATTATTTAAAAAAGCGATCCGATATTTTTTATTGTTTTTTTTGGTTATTTTATAATAGTATATGTAATCATATAATTTTTTATAATTTTATAAATAATTGAACTAATATACAATTTAATTGTTGTAATGTATAAAATTTTACACTATTTTTTGTTAAATTATCTGCAAAAAGGAAAGGATTTTAAAACATCAAAAGAGTCAGATTTAATTAGTGTTGCTAAAAGGCTCAATTAGTCAACAGTAAATTACCCATGCTTGGTTTAAGTAATATCACAAAATGTGATATGATCGGTGAAAAATTTGTGTATTGGCACCAGGGATCCAAACCGAACCTGAACCGTTAAACCTCTAAAACCGGTATTTTTTATCGAACCTGAACCGAGCCTAAACTGCTAAAAAAATTCTAGCCGAACCTGAACCGAACCGATAAAATGCCTCTGAACCGGTTCGAGACTCATGATTTTATGCTTATAAAATAATATGTAAGTTATTATTAGTATAATTGAAAAAATTTCAATTATATTCTAATTATTTTGAAGATTATCATGAATCACGTTTGATTGATAAGTGTCGGTAATAATTTTTGTAAACTTGAGTAAATTGTCATTTAACAACATTTTCCTCTAAGCTTATAAATTATAAGGCTTAGAGAAAAATTAAATCCAAAATATTATTATAAATCACATATCAAATCTGATATCATATTGGCAGTGCATGCTACCAGAGTTAGTGTGGACTATGGAAAGATGTTTTTCAACAATTAAATTTATAAGCTATCTCCATATAGATGTAATTTGAGTGGGAAATTTTGAAAATATATTAATTGTGTGGCTTAATAAAAAAAAATTTAAGTAAAAAAAGTAAAATATTGTTCATATTAAAATTAATCATTGATATTTATTTTTATATTTATAAATTAAATTTTATTTTATAATGTGCAATTAAAATAAAAGGTAGGTTTTATACATGTATTTTTTTAAATTAATGATAAAATTAAAAAAATATTTTCCCTATACATAATTCGAATGTGAATACAAAAGTGTTCAAACCAGTTTTTAGAGGTTCAAACCGAACCGATATTTTGATTTTTTACGAACCAAACCTGAACCGTTATTTTTATCCAAACCTCAACCCGAACCGATATTCGTTTCAGTTTGGATCCCTGATTGGCACAGCCCTACAAAAATTACACTAATTATATTCAACACTAAATTTTATTAGTAATGTAAATAAACCTGTTTAATATTTTTATTTTTTTTAAATTAAATTTTGGAACTTTTACATTTTTTATTACTATATCATATGACATATACAGTATACAATTGCAAATCATTTATAAAATTAGACCAAAAGAGTTATGAAAGTGCAAATGTAGATATGCTAAATAGTGAAAATTATGGAAAACATGTTAGACCCACTATAGATGACGATCGGTCACTTATAGCTCAAAATATTATAATAGCATTTTTTATGTAATCACTAATTAGACCAACATTGGAGATAATTCTTTAATATAAAAAATAAAACAGAGGTAGATTGATAGCCTAATATTTCAGTGGGATGTGTCCAATAGGGGTATCAAACTATTTATGTATCTGTGAATAAATTAGGTAAATATCAGATTATAAATATTAGAATCATAAAAAATGTGATTGAATATTTTATAAGCAAAAATTTAGTTTTTGATAGCATTGCATCAGAAAGATTACTTAAATGACAATAATATGAATTGTATCCAAGACATGGTTATCATATTTTAATTAAACCTTAAATGGACACCAAGGCCTCTATGTTTTCCTGAGCATTCTAAACATATCCAAATTCCATATGATACACTAACCCATTGAGGATTTCTGCTATCACATTCAAAACAACGCTATAAAAAATTATATTACATAATGAATATGTATATTACATTGTTTTCATTCTTTAACTTAACATCTTTTAGAGTTCGCAATGTTCTAGGACTAGCCATGGTTATGTAAGCAGGTTATCACTATAAAAAATGTCTAAAAATAGATAATAATTATATATATTAATAATTTCATAACTTGACCAATATATGCTATAATTAATAATTTCATAACTTGACCAATATATGCTATAATTAATATATTTTTATAATATATTTTGAAATAGGAAAGAAAGTTTCCTACAAATTAACTAAGGTAGCAAAATTAATTATGTAATGACTACAAAGTATATAAATTCCTAAAACTTATATGGAAAAAATATCAGCCAATATCACAGTTTATCAATTTAATCAAGCCTACAACTCAACGGGGAAAAAGTCCTAAGGGAACATAATAGTTTTGAATGAAAACTACCTAAATTTTAATTTTGACTAAGAATACGAATCCCAAAGAATAAGAATTTTATTTCATACGAATAAGGACAGCTTATCAATGTAATCAAGCCTACGATTCAGCGAAAAACTCAATGGGAAAAAAGCCCTAAGGAAACGTGGTGGCGAATGAATATAAACAAGAATTATTTTGCCTTGACTGCTTTTACAAACTTAAATTAAATGAGAATAAATATTTCATATAGAAAAAACTAGACAATTGCAACATGTACAACTCCTATGCAATCATAATATAACTTTTTTTTCGAGAATTTAGTCACTTTTTTGTTTTAAACAAATATATACGTTTTCTAAAATGCTCATATTTTAAGTATAACAAAAATAAAATAACTAATCTTAGATTTATTTTGAATTAATAATTTGGAATTTTTTGATTCGAATGATTTTTATACTCATCTTGAATAAAACTATATATTTATATAACTATATTTTTGGCAAATTGTTAAAGTAGATTATAAAAAGATTAGTTTGTATATTATAACTTTGAAATGTACCCATTGTTACATTTAAATATATAATTAGTTGAATTAAAATTTTTTTATTAATCATATGTATTGTATAAATAAAAATCAGTATTTTTATAGTACATGCACAAAGATGAATAGCACAATATAATATTAATTCTTTGAACATTTTAAGATAAATAAATTTTTATTAATTAAAATTTTTCAAAACTATGCATCTAAACCAGAGTTGTTAAACTCTACTTTTAAAAGTAGCGCGCTATCGCTATCGCTATTTGTTAAAAAAGGTAGCGCGCTACCGCTATCGTGATTTGTCAAGAAATGTAGCTCGCTATTAGCTACTATTCTTAAAAGTAGCTTTAACTACTTTTTATAAAAAAAATTTACAAACAAATTGTTTATTTTTTGCTTATAATGTTATTATATAGTAAATGTATAAAAATCAACATTTATAAATATTAAAATATAGTTAGTTTTAATTATAAAAAAATTTAGGTAATGAAAATAAATATTTATGGTAATTTGTTGCATTTCAATAATAAAATCATTTCAATATTATCATCCCCAAATCTAGAGCGACGCTCAGAAAGTATAAGTTTTGATTTATTAAATAATCTCTCGACACTAGCACTTGAGGTTAAGCGCGTATTTAATCTTATATACGTATTTTTTAATATGAGATAGATTATCAATAATTCTATTTTCAAGTATATCATATGTCTGGCATCCTATTATCATTTTGAGGGCTAATGCCACAGATCTTCTTTTTAAAGTTCTAGGATCTAGTCAATGTGTGATTTCCAAATAAGCTCAAAAGTATTTAATCAGATCAATTTATAAATATAAATAAGTTTTTAACTTCTGTTATGTGTTCAACTATCTCCTGTGGTCAAATATATGATATCTCTGATAACTCTACTATTAGAGCATCTTTCATCATAATATAAATATGTTTTTACCTTCTGTTATGTGTTTAACTATCTACCGTGGCAAAATGTATGATATCTCTGATAACTCTACTATTACAGCATCTTTCATCATTTTAAAGTTATCTCCTATTTTATTCATTAGTGTCTTGCTGCATAAAATTGTTGAACCAGGGGGATAGAGTTTTAATCATCATGGTAAATGATGGATTATCAAAAGGACATTGTCTGAACTGTATAAAATATAAAATCGACAATAACTTTATCAGCCAATTTCTGAGAAATATTGTCATTTGCATTATTAACAAATTTGGTTTGAATTAGTATTTTTGGATGTAGAGTGGCCTATACCAAAATTATTTAGATGTTTCTCCATTTCCTTAAAACTCATGAACAATCTTATAAAATAAATATTATCAGAATGTAAAAATGACAATTTACCTTTAGGTGTTTCTTGATGTTATAGCTACTGGATTGATTTGGGTATATATTTTTTTTTACATTTTAAACAAATAAATTTGAAACCAGTTTTGGTTATATATTTATTTAAAAAAAATTTCAAATCTAGGGAATGGGAAATTTGTATTATAGCTATTAAGAACATTTTCATCCCTTTGTATCTTACAATTCATTAATATCATTGTCTGAATCACTTTATTCGATATGGATATCCATAGGCGATGACATTTTTAATTATTAACACATGATTTAGGTTTATAATACAAATGAAAATATAAATTACGGTTCGGTTCATCCGGTGGAAAATTCGAAGTGAAAGAACGGTAAATATTATTTTATTTTAATCATATTTATTTACAGATTCTATGAACATTATATCTCAATATTTTACAAAAAGCAAAGTTGAGTTAATAAACAAATTCAATATAGAACATAAACTTAAAATTTACCAATACCCCTCCCTATAATATACATTTTACTTAATCGGGTACGGGATTTTCTCTCTCTTCTTATCTCCCGTAGGCGTTTAAGCAAGTGGTTTCGCCTCTTGCGCGCACAGGTAACTGCAGCCTGCCCAAAAATTGTGGATGGGCTCATCTCATAGGCTACCCGCAAATTTCTTAACCCAATAAGATGAGATAGTCCAAGCGTAGCTCTGCTGTTTCATATAGCAATAAAGGGCAATTGCGCTTATTATGACGTATGACGTAAAATATAAATTACAAATTGAAATTATATTTAATTTCAAATAATAAATAATATAATTAATTATGATATTATATTTAAATTTTCATGTTTATACTTACCTTCATTCAGCGTCTACATGACAGGATTTCTACTGTATGATAACCCCCTTATCGCCACCTTCGGCGACGGCGTCTCTCTATTATTATTTTCACCTTTTTAATTTATTGATACTCTTTTCAGAGAATTAATAAAGAACTTAAATTAATCTATCTTTACTACCAACTATCGATATTTTGTGAATATAAAGAATTTATTTTTTAGCGCGCTAAAAAGTTAAATAATTACAAAAAATAACCGCTATTAGCTATAGCTACCAAAAAAGTTGCGCGCTCTGAAAAAAACCTTCTCTAAACAAACTTTTTACAAGAGCACTAGTTAGGCATAAGCATTAATTATAAATTTCGAAAATCATAATATAAAAAAATTGAATGTATATAAATATTTACATATAAAAGTTGTTCACAAAAATAATGGAACTAGTTAAAACTACTGAAAAAGATTCTTACCAGATTTTTTTTATAGTGGAGTTAAAATGGTCTGCGATAAATGTAAGTAACTTAACAATTTTTATAATTTTCATATAAAAGTTAATTATAGGTGAAAAGAAATTAGGCAAAGTAATAACTCCTGATCCTTGGAAATCTGGATCCAGAAATAACACAGGTTGGTGGTTTAATATCAACCTTTTTAATATATATATATATACATTTAGAAAAAAGTGGTAGAATTATTAATGAAAACAAATTATTAACTGGCAAAAAATCAAGATTTATACCATATCAAAAAACTTTTGATAGGTGCCGAATATGTAAGACTAGTGTGCATCAAGCTCATTCTCATTATTGTCAAGGTATATAATATAATTAGAATCATATAATATGAAATATATATTTAAATAGAATGTGCATACAAAAAAGGAATATGTGCCATTTGTGGAACAAAAATTCTTAATACAAAAAATTATATGCAATCTACAGTGTAACATTTATTTTATTAAGAACAACAATTTATCTAGATTTTCTATAAATCATTATGTACATTTACCAATAAATTATATACATTTTAAAATTGATTACAAAATTCAAATGACATAGTTAATATTTATTATATTATGATGGTATATATATTTATTTATAATTTGTTCTGTTAAATGATCTGCCCATCATAATAAATGTATTATACAGTGAAATCAATTTTCATGTTGTGACATCTTTTCATAATTTTTTCTTTGCTTTATTAATTAAATGTAAGAGATTAAATTTTAAATTATTGTGATAGTAAGAATTTTATAAAAAATCTAAAAGGTACAATTTCTCGAATTGTACTATGTCTTTAATACTGTTATCTCCTCAAAAATCAGCCTTTAATTCTTTTAAATTGATAATCCTTCCTGCCCCTTTTAAATTTCTATATCTATAAAATTGTCTCAGAAAAATTTTCTATTTAAAAAAATACGAATAAACAATACTATATATCAGGGACGAGAACCCGAACCTTCAATATTTCGCTGAACCTAAACCCTTTCTTAAAATTTAGGTTTTAGGGTTTTTTTTTGATTTTAAATTTATATATTAATTTTAAAGAATGATTGTTTGATCATTTTTTTGTGTAATTATTTTTGTTATATTTAGTATTTTTTTAAATTGTATTGTAGTATTATAATTATGATGAATTATTTTTATGGTGATAATTAAAATAAATAATTTTTAAAAATTTGATGTTTCTGTTATTTTAACTAATTTATGCCTTTATGTGGGTTCTATTTTCAAGAGTATTTTGAAGAAAAAAATTAAGTCATTATTTTTCTGGTCCCCGAACCAGGTTCAGGGATTTTTCACTGAACCCAAACCCATTTTTTAGAAGGAGGGTTCTCATTCCTGCTATATACACATTTTATTTTAAAATCAAATTTTTACAAAAAAATAGCTTAATTTATATGGGATTGATAACTATTACTTATATTTAGAACTTTGGGGGTAAAAGATCATCTATTGTGATCATTTCAGTTTCACCATAATCAACCCATCTTATTTTGATGTAGTGCCTAGATGACTATTTTTCAATGCCACCACTACAATTATAAAAGTATTAAGGCTACAGCAAGACACATCAAGTCTCTTATTTAAAAATATTATGAAAAGTTGATTTTACTGATAGTAATTTTTTAATTAAATGCTACATATTTTTTTTATAATTTCTTGCTTCTATATTTTTTATTTACCTTGAATCTTGATACTAATTTTCCTATTAGCTAATAACTTTTTTATTTATATTTTTATGGCCATGAAACATTAAACTATTTAAACTTGTAACACATATGGTCTAAGAAATAGAATTAATGCTGTCTAGGGTTTAACAAACTCCATACTTAGAATGGTGTCATTAATATAAGATTCGGATTCATTTCTAATCATTGATATAAGATGCAAGGTTAATGCAGATGTTTTTTATCATTAATCTTGATACCAATTTTAGAAATTTTCTTATTAATTTTTTTATAAGGTGTTTACCAAATGGATTGAAGTATTAAATTAAAATGTATATTTAAGCATTACATATTGGCCTAGGCATTAGAATTAGTGCTTTCAAAATTTGGCAAACAAGTTTAGCCTAATATAAGACTCAGATTTGTATCAAAATTTTAAAAATATTCAAAATATGATGAGATTTTAATTATTTTATTCCTAATATCTATTAAATAAACCAAAAAGAACAAATAATTATATAAACTATAAAATTCATAAATATTTTGAATTGGGGAAAAAGATGCTTTATTATATTCAGATGTAATTAATTTTTTGAAATGCAATTTATAGTCATAAATTTTTTCCTTTGTGCTATTGCTTTATTGTATTAAATCTTTCTGTTTATTACAAGAAAAACTCAATGAATTAGAATACTAATCAGACATTACATATTAGTGGACTCAGATATTTAATGCTATAATAATTTTTTCTCTAACTTTTAATATTATTTTTTCAAAATGCGTTATTCTTGAAATTATCTATTAAATTATTTTAAGTGTTTATATGTGCATGCCCACTAATTATTTATATAAGTTTCAGAGTTCCTCCAAACGTTTGACTGACTTTACGTTTTAGGAAATATCACTTATTTGAATTATAATTCAGTTCCCTTTTCTGATTGGTGAATTGACTGAAGAATCAATAAGTTAGTAACTAAATATTAACGCAAACTAAATATTCAGATCTTATACATTCTGGCACGATGCCAATTTTTTTCATATTTTACTAAATCCTTTTAAATTCGAATAGAAATTAAAGCAATAAAAATTTTTTTTAAAAGCTCATTTCTTTTATTTTTTAAAAATTATATATATTTAAAATAACATGTAAACCATTTGTAAAATAAAATTTATACATCGATGGCTTCTAATGCCGGACCTAAAGGGTCTCCTTGTTGGATGCCCTGTTTAGAGAGAATAATAGAATCATTAAATTGCAAAAGGTCGGTTGATTATAACATGCACATGCAGCGATGTATGTTGTATAATCTGGGAAAGTTTCACAAAAGGAGGGTATAAAATGTTTCCTCCTAAGTGAGTTGAAGACATTATGTAGGTCGATTTTGAGAATGCATTGATCATGTGTATTATGGAGGATGACAGTGTCGAGTAGGATGCAGCCTCACATCCTCCAGGAACATTGAAACCAAGCTGGTTTGGATGTAGTAGATTGGATAGGTTAGATTTTATACGGGAGCAAATTTTTTTGGAAATGATTCGCTGGAAGAGTGGCCCTATTGCAATAGGCCTGATGTTGTCTCCATTGGTTTTGTTTAAGGATATTAAGCGGGCTCCAAAAATGATGGGCTGAATGAGATTAGGTATATTATTATGAAAGAAATGATTAAGCAATATGGTGAATTGTGTAAGTATGTTTTGATATAGGGGTATAGTTGTTTTATTTTGGAGATAAATGGCTTGAAAGTATCCATATCCCTAAGCATTTCAGCTTTTCTATCCTCAGTGGCTAAATTTTGACACATACTGGGAGATTTGTATATCGACCCACATCGAACGGCAGCACTAGACCTCTGGAGCAAAAATGCCCCAAATCGCTCATATCCAGATTCACTAAAACAGAGACTGGAACTTTCCATTGATATAGCATTGCGTTGATTACTTACACTTCAAAGCTGTTCAAAGAAAATCTCCATCGCTCTTTCTCCACCTAAACCCTAACCCAATTATACATAATGACAATAATATGACCCCTCTGCCAGATCCAATAATTCCAACTTCACCCATATGCCATCTAGGATATGAATGGTTAAAAACTGTACCTAGTTCTAATCTAGGCTTGTTATTAACCAACGAAGAACTCAGAATATCCATAGGCCTTTGCTTAGGATGTGAAATCGTAACACCTACATCATGCGTACTATGTGAAACCCACATCGATAGCCTTGGACACCACCTTCTACACTGTCGTTTCTCAAAAGGCAGATTACCCAGACACCATGCTATCAATTCAATCATCATCAGAACCTTGAAATCCTCAAATATTCCCTCCACCCTGGAACCATCCGGCCTCAGCCCCGACAATCAACCCAGACTAGAAGGTATGACGCTAGTCCCTTGGAACCAAGGTCTACCTTTCGCCTAGGAATATACTATCGTGGATCGTTTTGCCAGATCTTTTTCTTCCAACTCTATCACGAAAGACGAAAACACAAAAACAAATATAGCAACCTTAATAATGTTTTGTTAGTTCCGGTAGTCTTAGATACCTGTGGATCATTTGGACTCCAAGCCCTGAAATTATTCAAAACAATAGGGCAAATGTTACGCTTAATCACAGGTGATCCAATTCGACAGAGAATATCAACTGAAATCTGCCGTTCTAACTGTATATCCATACATGGGTCTATAAGCCCCGTTGATCATACCTAATTAAATGTTTAATTATTATTTTATTTAATATAGTTTTAATATAAATTTTATTTTACTAATAGTTTACATGTTATTTTAAATATATATAATTTTTAAAAAATAAAAGCAATAAATTACTAATTAAATTACTTAATATACAAATTTTTTCTTATTTTGCTAATAATTTTATTCTTTATATTGTCTACAAAACGGATTAAAATAAAAAACAGATTGATAAAATTTTTAGAATATATGCTTTCAGTGGCTTAATTGTAAGTTTGATCAAAATTTTGTTGCTAATAATTTTTTCCTTTATACTGTGCCATCTATACTGGTTCCATATTACAAATCTTATTGTACATTATACATACTTAAAATATTTTAATTAATATATCTATCTACTTTTAGTATACCACCATCTATAATTATACCATAACAAACATATCATTTAAAATAATACTAATATTAAATTTTAATATGCCTATTTTATATTTATTCCATTATACTTAGCAAATATAAAATTATATAAATATTGATTTGTAAATTTTTTGCTCCAAAAGTTTTTCTAACGTGTAAGTAGAGAAAACTGTTTAAATTAAAAATCATTATTTAGTTTTAAAATATTTAAATAAACATCCTAATAAAATAAATTATGTATTTTATATATTTTTTAATATAAATCTTTACCTAAGATGTTTTAGAATTAAAATCGTTTAATGCTTTGATATACTTATTTTATATAAGATAGTAAGGAAAAAATACATTTTTTTAATCCCCTCCTAAAAGATATATGGAAGCAAACTACAACATCCCTTCGTTCATGTAGATACCCTAACAAAAATAATACATTTAAGCGTTTGGCTTTAAAAAAGATTTCTTTTAAAGTACCTGTAAAGTAACCGAAGGTTTGATTATATCTAGAGCGGTCATAAAATGTTCCATCTTCACCGTTGGATTTCTCATCATATTTTCAACGAGACGTTTATTTTCATGAACTTTATCCTGATTTTGGCTGTTAGAAATATTTTCTAATTTAAGCTTTTTAGTTGCAAAATTGGTAGCTTCCAGGCTATCTTCCAAGTTTTCATTGTATTCTATAATATCTTTAAGAGCTTGTCTCGAAGCTTCCTTGACTAGGGCAGACAAATCTGCACCACTAAAAAAATAAAATTTCTTCGATAATTAATATTTTTTAAAATTTATATCAAACTTGTAGAGTTCAAAATTAAGCCCGACTCGATATTTAAGAAAAAATTTTTGGCCTGGTTCAGATTTTTATTTTTGATCATTTTTCTAGAACCTTAAATTTTTTTATTATTTTGAACATTATTACCTTGTATTTTGCAAATTTTTTCAAAGATTTTCCATTTGATAAAATTTGAAAATCTTTTTTAGGATTTTTAATATTTTAAGATTATACCATTTTTCAACTCTTACCAGGTCCAATTTTTTTTAAAAGAAATCAAATTCCGACGAATCAATAAATATTTTAACCTAAATCCCCAGCATCTCTCATCATAAGCTATATTTTGTAAATCGACACATGGCGAATATAAATTTTGACCATAGCCATAATCAGAATGACATTCTACATAATGATGATTTTTTAAAAAGTTTGTTTTTGCCGAGCGTGAGATGGTGGCGCAAGAATCGGTTATAACTTTGAGAATATCAAGTCGGTCCTCGGAATTGGGTAAATCGACGTAAAATATCTTGTCAAAACGACCGGGCCTTAAAATAGCTTTATCAATCACATCTACAAAGAGTTATTATTAAATAAAATGAATTATATAACTTCTCTAGGCTATGGTCTAGCTGTTTTTCAAAAAAGAAGAAAGAATTTTCCATTCAAATAATAAATTTTGGTTAAGAATTTATAAATATATGTTTAATATTATAGCCTGACATTACTTTGGATTATATTAAAAATACATATAAAATAGTAAATTATAAGAGAATTAAAACTAAATGTTGACTATCATACAAGCTTGATCTCAATATATAAGGTGGTTGATATTAATGTCGCTTAAAAACAATTGTATTTAATTATTTAGTGTTTTATTTAGATTTAATAACAAAATTCAAGAAAAATTATGACACACTCCAAAAAATGGAAAATTCGATGACTATTAAGCCTTCTATCTCAGGTATTGAGGTGGGTTTTTTTTTTAAATTTAGCCTTAGCAGCTGCTTAAATAATATGTAAAAAAATGAAAAAACGCCTGATTTAAAAAAAATTAATATAGGTGGAGATGTTTAAAGAAATATCTTCAGAACCCGAACCCGTTTAAATCTAATACTCTATCTTTTTTAACATTTTTAAAGTAAACCTAATCTGTTAGTAGCTCCCATTACAAACACTCTTTTCCTAGAATCGATTCCGTCCATTTCTGTTAAAAGTTGGTTGACTATTCTTGAAGCGGAACTCTAAAACGAAAAAAACAAGGTTTACATTTATACTTCTTTCTATGACTTATAATAATTCGAAATCTACGTTATAGGTAGATGAACAGAGATGCGTCGATACCCCCTTTATAGCCAATGCTATTAAAGTATCTGCCAACGATCTCTCTTTATAGATCATTCTTCGCCACAGCATCTTTCTCAAGGCCCCCCCCCCAAAAAAAATTTTTTTTTTTATATCTTTAAAAAAAAGAAAGGAGACAACAAAAAAAACTAACCTCGTAACCGGTACCGCTATTGCCTCCCCCCTTTCCGCCACTTTCATCGTGGCTACCACCTCCTCTTTTGGGGCAAAGAGAATCGATTTCGTCAAAAAAGACTAAACAAGGAGCAGAATCTCGGGCCCTAGAAAAACATTTTCTCACTGCCCGCTCGGTTTCACCGACGTACATGTCTAACAGCTCGGGGCCTGGAATGGGTAAATATAAATGTAATAAATCGCAGTTTTTTGCCTTGATCCTTTAAGTAGTTGCATCAAAAATATTTTGGACTAAAGAAATTTAATGCGTTAAAAATTTTAAAATCTGCTGACCACATACCTTTAACGGCGATAAAATTAAGGGCCGATTCCCTAGCAACAGCTTTAGCTAGCAAGGTCTTACCGCAACCTGGCGGACCTACGAGCAGAACTCCGGAACTCGTGTTAGCCAATCCGAACAGGGAATAAACCTCGGGATATTTTACGGCTCCCCTCAAGCATAATGTTAGTTCCCGTTTGAGTTTGAATAAAGCGCCGACGTCCGAGTCCCATTTTTCGTAATTTGGTAGGTCACGAGAGATTGAAGTATCGATGTTATTTGGCTTCTCGCCACCATCTGATTCATTGACGGCTGTGGGCAAGCACTTTTGGTCAGAAATATAATCTATTTTTAAAAAAATCATGATTTAGAGAATATTTTTTAAGACTGGGATTCCTATGCTATTATTTTTGAAATAAGATTATTTGTAAATGAATTTTTAACCTGGAATACTATCTTTAGTAGATATAGATGAGGTATAAAATCCTTCACGTTTGCAAGAGGGAATCACATTTTTTAGAGCAGTTTCAAAATCTGTTAGGGTTATCAAAAATGGTGAAGCCTTGCAATCAGGCGAACTTAAATTGACAATTTTAGGCATGATAGGCGACTTGAGAAAGTTCAAATCTAATGATTTAATAGAAGGAGAAAAAAAACTATCAATATGGTGAGAATAACTAAATAGAGATTATTTTTAAAATAAATCTAAGATTATATACAACTTTGACTATTATAAATATTCCATATTCTTAAAAATCTTATAATAATAAATTACACGTTTTCAAATTCCGTTTATCTAAATCGTCATCTTGCGAGATAAGGGTGTTGGATAAATTGTTATTGTTTAAGTTGTTATCTTGAAATAAGGATCTATATTTTTATATAAAAAAAACAAAATATAACCGAATGATGCTATTAAATGGCCGAACGAAGAAATTATTTTTATTTAAATTGGTCGAATTAATTATTTTAAAAAATTCGTCGATGAAGAAGTATGGCTAAGCTTTTACCTAATAAATTTAATTTTCTAAATTAATTGCCAATGATTTATCATCAGTATTAATAAAATATCTCGTTTAATTTCTAAAAGAAGTAAAATTTATCCGCCATCTGATTTTAACTGAACCGCAATTTGTCCGGGCCATTGTCCAATATAAAAAGACCTGTCTATTGATCTTTTCATTCTAAAACTACTAATTTGAGATAGAAGTACAACGAAATTTTTAACTCAAGTAGAAAAAAATGTTTAACTTAAAAAGCATATTATAATTATAGGGGCACTGAAAATACTTGTACAGAATTCTAGAGACCGAAATATTTTTTTAATTATACTTATAATTTATTATATACTTTTAACACTATTACATAATGCCCCAATATTTTTTCTTAATTTAATTTTATAAAGAAGTAAAAGAATATTTACCATATTTCAAAGAACAAAAATAATATATATTTCATGATCCCATATTGTAATCATAAATATATAAATTTTAAAAAAATCCCCCATTTTGTCTTAAATCGGTCAGTATATAAAAACCATCGCCGATAAGGATAAAATAAAAAAATTAAATATATCGAATAGAGTGGCTCCGATTGAAATAGGCAAGTGCGCAATATATGTGCATTATATTAATAAGAAAAATATATAATAATTAAATTAAGAAAATTCCAAACCTAGAAATGGCGGAGATGGTAGCCTCTCGAATCAAGGTTTTTAAATCAGCGGCAACAAAACCAGGCGTATTCCGGACAATTTTTCTAAAATCAATATTGCTCGAGATGTTGAGTTTTGAGCAGAAATGTTGTAAAAGTCTATAAATTAATAATTACAAATTAAAGGATTGGTTTTGATACAGTTAAAATATTTTAAATTACAATTATTGACGATAACGTAAATTTTAATTTAAGATTTTAGGTAATTTTATGAAAGATAAATAACATCCAAATTCAACACTTATATAATACATCCCTAAAATTGGTAATTATATAATTTATTTTTTGTTCGGAAACATTCATTCATAGGGATGTATCGTTATTTCATCTTTTTTAAAATATCGGTTAAAGGCCGGTATTATAAGAATTTCCGATCTGATAAATGGCGTCTTAATTTTTAAAAAATTTATTTCAAATTTTATAATATATTCGTTTATGACTTATTATTAGGGGTGTCTCGATATTATTTACCGGATCGGGCCTATATTTTACCCATTTAAAAAGATTGGTTATCGGCCAATATTATAAAATTTTCCGATCCGATCCGATATAAAATGGCGTCTAACAAAAATAAAATGTTATAAAATTTTTAAAAAAAAATATATCTAAAATCATTTATTTTTATAAATAAAATCGAAATCCATTTTTATGTATATTTTTTTAATAATTAATTAATAAACATTCTGCCATATTGCTATTTTTTGCGCATTCTGTTTATAAAAGTGTGCTATAATCTCTTCAGAATCTGTTTTTAGTGAAGCAGGTGATATTGACAGTTACAATTCCCGCAGGCTGACCTCTGATAAATTGGAAATTTTGTTATTTCTAAAAAGAAATCTTCGATATATTAATGTTAAATATTATTTTAAATTTCATAATATATTTGTTTATTACTTATTATATATATAAATTAATGTTATTACTTATTATATAAAAGTAATTTAACAACTTTTAGAATCGCAATTTAATTGAATATAAGCTATAACTGATAATTATAATATATTAAAATGACATAAGTTATGGTATAGTTAAATTATTGATGTTATACTAATAAAAAGCATATTAAAAATTAAAGCCATTAGTATCTTTACAGAATACAAAATTAGATATGATAACGGATCGGTAATCGGCCGATATCAATTTAATATCGGATAGGATCGGCCTCCAAAAGTTGTATCGGTACACCCCCTACTTATTATGTAAATATATAAAAATATTTTATATACTTTTAAATTCATCAATATAAACTATAACTGATCATTATTGTTATGGTATAGCTAAATAATAAATGTTATACTATTAATTATGAGAGATGAATGTATGTAAAAATTAAAACATTAATATGAATCAGATCAGTAATCGGACAATATCAATTTAATATCGGTAATATCGGATCGGTCGATACACCGCTAGTTCCTAAATATCTTGAATGAATTTGAGTCCTATAGGACCGGCCCGATCACAAATAAAATATAGGTTCGGTTTGGCTCAAGAAAATATTAATATTAAAAACAGGTGGGAAATATTAATATCAAATTTTGTAATAAATAGAGAGAATTATCGTTAAATTGTCAAGGTTATTGCTGAATATTAAAATTTAATGCATAAATTTAATATAATTTGAATTTTTTCCATTATACGTTTTTATAGGCCGCGGTGAGCAAGGAGATTTTGTCACCAAGCCGCGGGTGGACTTGGGTCAAAAAAAGGACTTTATAAGTTTCTAATATGACTGAACCTTTTGATCCCAACAATTAATTCAAAATTATGTTTCACTTTGATCTTATGTATTTATTAACAATATTATAATTTATTTTTTAAATGTGCCGTTTCAATAATTATTTTTAACACAATAATTTTAATTTTGATATTTAAAAAAAGAAATAACAAGATCTTTTAAAATATATTTAAGATATGAATTGATTAACAAATAAAAATCAAATGTATTTTCTATAAAATATTTTTTTAATTTATGAAAATTGGAAGGTAAAATAATAATTATTTTTCTTTGCTTTTTTAAATTTCATCTTCGGAAATGGCGTTTTTGCTTTACTTTTGGCTAATTTAAAAATATTTCTTTTTCCATAAGGTCCTTACATTTATTATAAAGCAGAGATTTATAAGCTTATACCAAAGCCCGGTAATTGAGCTGTAAAATGTGCATAATTTCAAAAAATAAAGACCAAGCCTAAAAAGTCAAATGTTTGATAACTAACTTGGAACCATTAGTTCCTCATAGTTTTCTACTTCTCTTTAAAGTTAAACCCAATTTAGAAAATACAGAGGTTTAAGCATGAATTTGGGACTCTAAAATAGTTTAGATATTTTGAGAATAAAGATCAAATAGGAGCCAATTAATGGGCAACCCATAGCTCGGGGATTTTCGCAGGGGGGCTGCTTAGGACCATTTTAAAAAAATCGGTTGCGAAGTTGATTTTATTAAAATTTCTGATAAATCGTAGTGTTGTTAAACTGCTTGATTTTTAAAAATGGTGAATACAATATTTTAGCCACAAAAATTATGCGACGAGATTTCATTAATAGAAGTCCAAACCATTTTTCTATCTATGAGCAAAATTTCCAGGCTTGCGTATTTTTTTGGCTAAAATATCGGGCTACCCGTTTAACAACACTAATAAATCGAGTTAAAAATTCCTGAATCAGAATTCGAGTTCAAACCTGTTCAAAATTCAAAAAACCGGGAGGGGTCATAAAATAAAAAACTTTGGCTATGCTGGAATTTAAAAAAAATTCTGAACAGGCCAGTGGGTACATATATATATAATGTATATTAAACTTATATCGACTATTCTCATTTGGCATTCCTAATACAATTTCACGATCAAAACGTCCTGCTCTTCTTATACCTGGGTCTATGGAGTCAACAAAATTGGTTGCGGCAATTAACAAAACATGGCTATCAGAGTTATGAGTGAGATCTTTTAATAAATTTTAATCAAATATATTTATAGTATTGTAAACGTTACTTCAAAAAAGTAACGCGTTACTCGTTAGTTGAAAAATTAAACATTATATAGAATTTCCTGCACATAATATAAATAAAATTATACAAAAATAATATATTATAAGATAACTTATTTATTTTTAACAGCAATTGATTTTCAAAATTTTGATCAGATAAACAAAAGAGTGCTCAACACATCTTTTGCCGTGCTAAAAACAAGTTCAACTGGCGCAGAAAATGGGAGGGTTGTATCATATGTAATAAATAAAAATTTTAATTGGGGGAATTTTATAAAAATAAAAGAAAAATCTTTCCTATCTAGATCAAAGATCTACTTATATATATATAAGAAAGGAAGAAGGAAAGAAAGAAATCGAATCCATTTTATATATTCATTTTCTTTTTACTTTATATATTTTTTTCTTTCAATCAAATTTACTATAATATGGCGTTATTTTTAAGTTTACTAGATTATATTTGAATGAATAAGCCCAGAGATATTTTAATTTCAAAATTCAAAAATTAACAATATGAACGCCCAAATATCTGCCCTTGGGCGGCGTAAAAAAATCGAGCATGATAATTTTTATTAGATACCATAGTTATACTAACAATACATACCTTTTTTAAAAAAAAAATAGGAGGGGGTAAGGTAGAAACTATTGTAGATTTGTCATGGATTTCACCAATATAAAACAAGCCCAAAATTACATTAAAAATTTTGTTTGATAATTAAGTCATATATTGGGTTCAAATACGCCATCTTGCAGAAAGGATTTTATATAAAGAATCAATAAAATTAATATTAAAAAAAATTAAGGAAGTCATTATATCAAATCGATCATAATGGCAAGATATTCGATTAATTCCTTTCAATTTCTTTTAAAATTTAATATACACTAGGGTTCGTGCAATATATGTTGGCAACTTTCAGCCTCCTAGTTGTTATACCTTTTGGAGATATCGAGGATTAAAACATTACATTATTTACGTTACGAATGTCAGTTTTAAAAACTACATGATTGTAAATAATGAATTTTAGTATCAAAATAAAGTCTATACTTTAATTTTTAAGAAAAATAAAGTTAAAATTTTTTTAAGGTCAAATAATCTTTTGACAAATAATAATATTCAAAATCCTTATAAAGAAAAATTGGTTATTTAACATTAGTGTCATGAGTACAAAAAAAATGGAGGTAAGCATTAATCGATAAAAAAATCAGGGATGTGAACCCCGTCCCTGAACCCTCGTATTTTCGCTACCCAGAGTTTTTTCAAAATTGATGGTTCTAGCTGTAAAAAAAATTTTTTTCTTATTAATTTTTTACTGGTAAATTATTAAAAAATAAATAAATGAAAAAAAAAATTGTTATTTTGAGTCGATATTTCTTGATGTTCTCCAAACCCTGTATTGTGATAATCAAATATATATTTCTTTTTATATAATTCACAATTTTTATTATATTCAAATTTATGTACTTATTCATGAATTTTTTGTTATTCATAGATAGTAGAATTTTTTTTATATAATTTAAATTATTGGCATACGCGAGATAAATTAAAGAGTTTTATACTTTAACGTTTTAACAATTTTTTAATTCGCTTTTTGGGATTATATTTTTTTAACTTTTCATATTTAATTTTGTTCAAATGACAATAAATGGTGATTCAATTTTACAAATTTATAATAGTTTATTTTGGTATTTTAAATGGGGTTTCAAGTTTCTATTTGTTATACTCTGAACCCGGACCCTATTATTTGTCGAAGAGTTCAAATCCCTAAATGCAATTATAATGATGGCATATTTTATTTTATTCGTCTAAATGATTAATGTAATGGCCCAATATAGGGTTGAAAATTTCCGGGAATTTTTATTGATATAAACTTCCCTTGAGAATTTATGGGAATCAATCATATTGCTTAAATAACTAATAATTTTCAATTAGTATAGTATATTTTATTATATTCAAGTGGCATCAAATAAATAATGCAAATAATAAATATAATAAGTATATGCATGAAAGGTTTAGTAAAATACATTATCAAAACTGGATACCTCTTTATTCCCGGTTTGGAGTGTAGGCTTCCAAAAAATAACCATATATGTTCTGATGAAGTACCAGTAGGCGATATTGATAAAATTCTTTGGACAATTTTAGATAATGATTTGTTTGTACAGAGCCATTTCCACCATGTTAATGGAATAAGATATCTCACTCCACTCCAAATTCCAGAGTTTCTATAAAGACCATCTTTAGCTCGATATTGGCCTAAGTATTCAATAATCTCAGCATCTAATTAAAAAAAATCCGAAAAAGACTTTATTATTGATATCCCGTGACCTCTCAATATCATCAAGGTTATCCCTAAATCTGGTATCCAATAGATTTGCAGAAAAGTGAATTTCTTTGCAGCAGAATTATTTTCTCTCAACAGATTTTAATATTAAATATTCAGGTATTTCAGAAAGTGTTACTTTGTCAATTCAACATATATTGGGTAGTATAATTTCTGAGATCTTCTTTATATGCCCCCAAAAATTATCATCCTCCAGAATTTGGGTTTTAAGGGTTTTATCAAAAATATTATGGATTGCTATTTCTTGTAAAATCTCTTGATTTTTAAACTCTTTATCATTATTATTACACCATCCCATCTAGTTGGTGTAATAGAATACCTTCAAGGCATAAAAAAAGATAAAATGATATATTGTATTCAATTAAATTAATGTATTAAAAAATAAATAAATAAATGTATTTTATATAAAAGGACATAAAAAACAGATAAAAACATTATTGAAATAAAATATTAGATTATTAAAATAAAATATTATATAATTACGACAGTTAGACTTGGCAATTTTAGTGTTGAATATGTATTAACCTTGTTTCTCTTTTAATTTCTGCAGAAAAATGAAATGATTCCCTTTAATTTATTTTATTAACGTTTTAGTCCTATATATTTTATTCAATGAATCTTTAGTAAATTTATTTTATATTAATAAATTTAGCCTGTGTGCAGCCCAACCATTGCACTGTAAATGGGAATAGATTTGCTTATTTTAATTATTTTTAAAAATATTTATAAAATTGGGAATTTTGGGAATATTCTATTGCTCATTCAATAAATTCCTAGGGAATATTCCAGATTTTAACAACCCTAGTGATATATCATATTTTTTAAATAATATTTTAAACTTAGAATTCAAATATATGATTTTTATTCCTTTACAATTGGGTGGTAGGGGTGGATAACTTATATAAAAATAAATATTTTGCACAAGTTTCAATGTTTATTGAATATTATAAAAATTGGAGGAAAACATTTCTCTTTATGAGGATTTTATATTATATAGTTCTGGGAAAAAGATGCCCAAAATATTTTTTTTAAAGTATTAATTATATGCTTTAATAATGAATTTATTATGCACAATCAAGTAATTCTTATTTAACCATTAATTAAATAAAAACGAACACTCCTAATCCTCACCTTTTTTTTAACCCCACATAGTAACTTAAATTTTGCAAAAATATAGCTCACAAGAACATAATTATAAACAAAGTTAGGTGGTAACACAAATACTTGCATCTATGATTTAAGATTATTTGGAGCCTATTCTCCTTTTAGGCTGCGTCCAAAGTCATTAAAAAAAAATAAATAAATTTTGAGGAAAAAAATAACATAAGCTATTTTTAATGTAAAAATAAAATAGTGTCCTATTTCATTTTTCGGTATTTGTAAAAATTTATTTTTTTTAAAAAATAATAAAAAAAAAATAAAGTTGAATAAAAATATATTCAAAATTTTGAAATTTTTAGAAGAAAATTAGTAAGTAAAATTTTTAATGATATTAATTTTTATAAGGCTGCGTCCAAATTCATTTGAAAAAATACTTAAAATTTTCACAAATTAATAACAAAACACTTTGGACACATTTAAGTTTTTAAAAATAAAAATATTCAAAATGCTTGATATGAATCAATTATTAGTTATTTATTATATAATATTTGAAGAAACGACTCAACATAGAAATAGGAATAGATATTTGGAATTAAGGTATATATTATAATTAGAATATTAATAAATATATTATTCATTATAGAGATCAAGGACTTTTTAATATTTTTGATACTATACCTTATTATCCTGATAAATTCCGTGAGACATTTCACATGCATGTGGAAACTTTTAATTATATTCTAACATATTTGAATGAAATAGAGACCCCTCAAGTCATACATAAAAACAATATTAGTATGAAGAATAGGCTTTATATAATTCTTCTGTATGATTTTTATTTTTTAATAAATTAGCTTAATATTTTTAGATATTTGACAACAGGAATGAGTTAGAGAAAAATAGCCTTATTTGCAAAAATTGGCAAATCATCAGTAGCTACTATAGTTACATCTATTTGTAGATAATTATGGGTAAGTCTTCAACCCAAACATCTTTCTCTACCTACAGTTCAACAAATGCTTAATATATCAGCAGAATACCTCAGGAAATCTGGCTTTCCTCATATAATAGGTGCTATTGATGGAAAGCATGTGAGAATAAAACAACCTCAAAAAAGTGGATCTGTGTTTTTTAATTATAAAAAATTTAATTCTATTGTGCTACAAGCTGTAGCTGATAACAGAGCAAGGTTATTATTTATTTTATTAATTTTAATTCTTTTCTAGATTCATGTTAATAGAGGTTGGCTTTCCTGGGTCTGTGTCAGATAGGAGCATTTTTACCAAGAGCCAATTTTATCAAGGAATGATCAATAAAATTATTAAGATACCTACTCCAAATTTCTTACCTTTAACAGACATAATATCTCCATATGTATTTGTAGGGGATGATGCATATCCTTTATTAGACTTTATAATGAAACCTTATAAAAATAATTTAAATGCCCAAAAAATAAATTATAATAATAAATTATCTTGTGCTAGTCTCAATTGAGCGATGCTTTGGGGTTTTAACTGCCAAATTTAGGCATCTACATAAATTATCAGAAACTAATATAGTAAATTCAATTCAAATTGTTAAGGCAGATTGTCTATTGCATAATATAATAATAGATAGAGAGGGCATTCAAAATATAGAGCTTAGTTCAATTGAAGAATGCCCTTTACCAGATTCTATTGAATCTCAATACCATCGCTCAAATGAGAACTCTAATAATATAAGAGAAAATTTTATAAGATATGTAAACATGTAAATATTTAATTTATTATATTTTTTATTATCTTTCATTTATAAATTTAATAAATACATATATATTGTAAATAATTGCATCAAATAAACAGTTTTTTTATTTAAATAATGATAAATTGTCAGAGAATAATTTTTTAAATTTAAATATATCATCAATTGTCATAGCATTATATTTGATCCAAAAAGGATTGATAGAATCCCATCATATGATGTACATCCTTAATCTTTTCCATTTTATTTGAATCTAATATTTCTATTTTTTTAAATAATATATAGTGTTATTTATTATTTTACCTTTTAGAATCTCTGTTCTTTCAGATTCTTTAACTTTTAATTTTTTCCTTTTAAATATAGGAGTTGGAATATTTTTAATGATAATTGGGTTTTCATTCTCTTGTTTGTGGTATCTTGATCTAACTATTATTCAATAATAAATATAAAATAATAGTAAAATAATGTACAGCATCCAATTCAAATACTGGATTAGCAATTTGATTCAGATATGATTCTGCCTAAAAATAAATTACTTTTTAATACAAATATAAAATAATACTGTTCCCATATGGCTATTTTCATATTCCTAATTAAAATCAATTTTATATTTTTAATATTTTACATTTGTCTGTATCAATATCAATCTTGAAATTTGGTAATATTTTCCTTCAACCATGAATAATTTTCAATATATATGACATCTTTCCCTTTAAGAACTCCAGATCCAGATCCAGAACCTAAAATATAATATAATTTAAAAATAAAATTTTTATTTTTACCTGATTTTTGCTGGGTGAGAAAATATAACTTATTAAATTTAGCCTTTACTGCTCAAAGCGATTATGAAAATCCAATAAATAAAAATATCAGGGATAACATGGTTGGGAGAAGTGTACATTTAAGATTAGTAAGTGTATATATTATAAATTTTGAAACAATAATTTAATATTTTGACATCACCTTATGTGATTAAATAGAGATTCTATAGAAATTAGGCAAATTTTGGAGGAAAGGCCAGGACTATGAAAAAATTTTGAAATAAAATCAAACATATAACTTCAATTATGATCAATTGAAAACAAACCCTTTGCAATTTATTTTTACCATAATTTAGCCAATATTAACTTTAGAAATTAATGTAAAAAGAATAATAGGGTATGATTTATTAAGATATTGACTATTTATATAGAAAATATTTACTAAGTTTTATTGAGCTAATATTTTGACATCACCTTATGAGATTAAATAGAGATTCTATAGAAATTAGGCAAATTCTTTATATAATAATATATTTTTTAGTGTCTGAGTATAATTTTATGGAGAGCATCAGAGAGCACAGAAGCCTCTGGTGTAAAAGTGACCTAAAATTTAGAGATTCTGTAGAAAACAAGCGAATATGGGAGGAAATAGGAAAAACCTATAGCTTGAATTATGATCAAGTGAAGAAAAATTTTTTAGCAGTAAAGGCTAAATTTAATAGGTTATATTTTCTCACCCAGCAAAAATCAGGTAAAAATAAAAATTTTATTTTTAAATTATATTATATTTTAGGTTCTGGATCTGGAGTTCTTAAAGGGAAAGATGTCATATATATTGAAAATTATTCATGGTTGAAGGAAAATGTGTATCCAAATTTTCTGAGTCAAGCTTGATATTGACACAGACAAATGTAAAATATTAAAAGACAAAAATATAAAATTGATTTTAATTAGGAATATGAAAATAGCCATCTGGGAACAGTATTATTTTATATTTGTATTAAAAAGTAATTTATTTTTAGGTAGAATCATATCTGAATCAAATTCCTAATCCAGTATTTGAATTGGATGCTCTACATTATTTTACTATTATTTTATATTTATTATTGAATAATAGTTAGATCAAGACACCACAAAGAAAGAGAATGAAAACCCAATTATCATTAAAAATATTCCAACTCCTATATTTAAAAGGAAAAAATTAAAAGTTATAGAATCTGAAAGAACAGAGATTCTAAAAGGTAAAATAATAAATAACACTATATATTATTTAAAAAAATAAAATATTAGATTCAAATAAAATGGAAAAGATTAAGGATGTACATCATATGATGGGATTCTATCAATCCTTTTTGAATCAAACTAATGCTATAACAATTGATGATATATTTAAATTTAAAAAATTATTCTCTGACAATTTATCATTATTTAAATAAAAAAACTGTTTATTTGATGCAATTATTTACAATATATATGTATTTATTAAATTTATAAATGAAAGATAATAAAAAATATAATAAATTAAATATTTACATGTTTACATATCTTATAAAATTTTCTTATATTATTAGAGTTCTCATTTGAGCGATGGTATTAAGATTCAATAGAATCTGGTAAAGGGCATTCTTCAATTGAACTAAGCTCTATATTTTGAATGCCCTCTCTATCTATTATTGTATTATGCAATAGACAATCTGCCTTAACAATTTGAATTGAATTTACTATATTAGTTTCTGATAATTTATGTAGATGCCTAAATTTGGCAGTTAAAACCCCAAAGCATCGCTCAATTGAGACTCTAGCACAAGATAATTTATTATTATAATTTATTTTTTGGGCATTTAAATTATTTTTATAAGGTTTCATTATAAAGTCTAATAAAGGATATGCATCATCCCCTACAAATACATATGGAGATATTATGTCTGTTAAAGGTAAGAAATTTGGAGTAGGTATCTTAATAATTTTATTGATCATTCCTTGATAAAATTGGCTCTTGGTAAAAATGCTCCTATCTGACACAGACCCAGGAAAGCCAACCTCTATTAACATGAATCTAGAAAAGAATTAAAATTAATAAAATAAATAATAACCTTGCTCTGTTATCAGCTACAGCTTGTAGCACAATAGAATTAAATTTTTTATAATTAAAAAACACAGATCCACTTTTTTGAGGTTGTTTTATTCTCACATGCTTTCCATCAATAGCACCTATTATATGAGGAAAGCCAGATTTCCTGAGGTATTCTGCTGATATATTAAGCATTTGTTGAACTGTAGGTAGAGAAAGATGTTTGGGTTGAAGACTTACCCATAATAATCTACAAATAGATGTAACTATAGTAGCTACTGATGATTTGCCAATTTTTGCAAATAAGGCTATTTTTCTGTAACTCATTCCTGTTGTCAAATATCTAAAAATATTAAGCTAATTTATTAAAAAATAAAAATCATACACAAGAGTTATATAAAGCCTATTCTTCATACTAATATTGTTTTTATGTATGACTTGAGGGGTCTCTATTTCATTCAAATATGTTAGAATATAATTAAAAGTTTCCACATGCATGTGAAATGTCTCACGGAATTTATCAGGATAATAAGGTATAGTATCAAAAATATTAAAAAGTCCTTGATCTCTATAATGAATAATATATTTATTAATATTCTAATTATAATATATACCTTAATTCCAAATATCTGCCTATTTCTATGTTGAGTCGTTTCTTCAAATATTATATAATAAATAACTAATAATTGATTCATATCAAGCATTTTGAATATTTTAATTTTTATTTTTTTAAAACTTAAATGTGCCCAAAGTGTTTTGTTATTAATTTGTGAAAATTTTAAGTATTTTTTCAAATGAATTTGGACGCAGCCTTAAGAACATTTTTTATGATACTTAAATATGTGGACAAAAGATACAGGTACTTTTTTCTTCTATAGAATCTTGAATTATCTTCGTGTTTTTTTTTCAATCTATATATTTTAAATTAATATTCAATATTTTATTTTGCCAAACCAACTTTTTGTTATATTACAAATTAATATTTCATTATGATTCCTTATCCATATTTATATTAATCATTATATATTAAAATAATCATCTTATAGGGTTGAATAAAACATGTTTATTTATATTTCAATGTCCAACATTTTGGATTGCCCCTTTGACACAGTATAGTATACTTGATTATTAAAATAAAATAGTAATATTTGGGTAATTTTGATTTGTTAATTGTTTTGTCTAAATTTTTTTTATAATGATGCATCTAATTGGTTTAATAAAACTTATATAAATGATAACATAAGAATATTTTACCATAGTTGTCAAAATTTTATGTGTCTGCTAAGTTTTAGATAATTTTAAAAAATTTCTAAACAATTTGAAAATTTTTGGGGTAGTTCTTCTAGAATAAAAAACCAAGAATTCAATATTTATTTAGAATTATCTTTCAGCTTGTCAAAACAATCAACATATATATATATATTAGAGCTCTTAAATGGCAAAATTTACAGGCCTGGCCTGAAGGGAATTTAGTGTTAGTCTGACCAAATTATTGCCCTGCCCAGTTTCAATTTTTTACAAAGATTGCCTGACCTAGTTTTTAAATATAAGGTGTAAACCAAAATATATGTTATTCACCAAAATATATTAATAATTGTGGGGAGTGGTTAAATCAAAAACAGAATAGTTTATGGATTACCAATTCTACGAAATATTAAATTCCTCAAATATATATTTTAAAATTTTTTTGCCCAGCCCTGTTATTTTTTTTGCCTACCTATACAAAAAAGGACTAAAGCAAGCCCTAGGGGCATCAATTAAGAAAAATTATAAGAATAGTATAGTGTATATAATTTAATAATACCATCAATAGAGCACAAAATTTGGGATATAATTCTTCGCTCCATATCTTTAGTTGTTGATTCTCTTTTAGGAGTAATAACATCAAGTTCATCTATAAATAAAATGACACATTTTTTTGGCTCATCATCATTTTTTTCATTATTTATCAAAGATGATAAAGTTAAAGCATCACCAAATACCTTACGTATTTTTTTTTCAGCAACACCACTTATGCTAGATATAATTTCTGGTCCTGCAATTTTTAAAAAAGGCCAACTAAACTCCTATTTAAAATATAAATTTATAAAATTATATGTGAATTAAACCCCTGCTATTGCCTCAGCCAACATTGACTTGCCTGTACCAGGAGGACCATGTATTAATAAACCAATTGGAGGTAAAATTTCTAAATCTTTATAAATTTTCGAGTGAGTTAGATGAATTATGCTCTGGCATACTTCAACAAGTAAGTTATCATAACCAATAAAATCATCAAATTTTAATTTTGGGACATACCAATTATATAGTAGGAAATCTTGAGCATTTTCATTTACTTTGATATATATATATACATATTTTCTTAATATGTAAAACTTGATTTATTAGATTGATCCTGATTTTTGAAATCATCAAGTTTAGGAGAATCTTTTAATTGAAAGGATAAATTATTTTTGCCTTTAAATTTATTTTTTGATTTGTGTGTTGTTGAAGCTGGAGTAGTATCACAATTTTGATTACTATTTGCTCTGTATAAACTATGTAGGCTACTATTTAAAACATTCATATATTAGTAAATTTTGAAATTTTTCAAGAAATAAATTTATGCATGTATGTTATACATTAATTTGTAATATCTGGCAATATATAGCAACTTATATAACAAAGATCAAATTTAATAATGTAAATGGATATCAGAGATATATTGCTCCCCTTTAATTTTTTTTGATATTTAGCCCCTTTTTTAAATTTTGTGAATGGGTTGAGCTGCTTACCTGCCAAATTTTTCTTTTAATAATGGTATTTAAATCCCTTTCTCTTAAAGGCTCTTCATACAGCGTCTAGATAAGGGGCATAAAGGGAGCGAGATAGTATGAGCAGTTTGTTTCCAAATTTTTTAATTGTAGCAGGCATCTAAGCGGGTAGACAAAATTTATTATGGGTTACGAATGATTTTTTGATGAAATAGGAAAGATGTATCCTGTAAAAATTTATAAAATACTTTTGTTATGATCTTATTTATTATGCATCCATCAATTGCTAAACATCGATTAAACTATAGATTGTCAACAAATATAACCACGAGAAATTTTATAAAAAAAACTTATATTTGGATTATTTCTACTATATTTGTAAATATAATTTAAAGAGGGTAGATATTCTATCAACAAGTTTGAATTCATAATAATACATTCATCCTAAATGTGTAAAAGATTTTTAATTTAATTCATTCTAAAAAATTAGTTCATCACATTAACAATTTTAGATAGTTTGTTGTAGATTGACAATTTAATAATTATTTGTAATATTTGAAAGTATTACAATTATAATTAAATGGGAGTATCGTCGTCTAAGGTGGCAATTATTTTTAAGGAGATTGCCTCAATAGAATATCTGTCAAGTAAGCGCTGGCTTCATTGCATAAAAAATAAAGAAACAAAAAGTTTAATTTTTCGATATTTTTATTATATATTTTATTAACAACCAAAAATATCTTTGATTTGTCTTATTTTAGCAATTTTTATGACTATTAGAAAATTATTTCATGTTAAAAAAGAGTTTATAAAAAAGTTGTTTTTTGAAAATATTAAGCATAATAAATAATGCTAAAATAAAGGTTAATAAAAACTACTGGCTCGAGAAATAAATGCAATGACCACTGATAGTAATGACAAGATTTTAAATGTTTATTCAGTAGAGCCAACTCCATGGGAGCAGGAGGCTATCAACCCATTGATATATTCCATAAATCAAATAGTATTGACTCAAAAATATTTTAAATATGAAATTTTAAAAAAAAAATTACAACCCCTATAGATATTTGACAAATAGCTACATTTTTAGCAAGTTTTGAGTCGATTCTAAAAAGACAAAATAAAATTTTAAAGCGAAAACGATCATCATAGTCTATATTAAGATTTAAAATTACAGTTGAAAATAATCAACTAGCGCTCTTATCAAATTTTTTCAGCTTTTAAGATTGATCCGACAAGAAATAGTATAATTTTTAACAAAATCACTAGAAGTTTATATTTTTGTTTAAGTTCGTTATTAATTTTTAGGATTAAATCAATATACTGTATAAGAAATAAGAAATTGGGTTATTTTTTAGTCATGTTCTTAGGTGTCCTTACACAGGGAGGTAAACCCGAGCCCGGATCCTGAACCCTCGTATTTTGGCTGTACCCGGACCCTTTTTAAAAGTGGAGGGTCCAAGGTTTCTAGGTGTCATAAAAAAAAATTAAAAATAAAATATTTTTTTAAAAAATTATATAAAAGCCTAAAAAATATTCACTTTAAAACTATCATTGATAAAGAAAGGGATGTTGCAAAATATTTAAGAACTCCTAAAATTGTAAGATAATTAAAATCAATGAAAAGGTCAATGGAAATATTAGATTGTGCAATAAGTTAGTCATCAATTTGTATGATGCTAGAACGATTATTAAGTTTGAAAGATTTTTGTAATTTTATTATTGGAGCATGTGAAGTCATTATATCGGAAGATGCAACAATATTTACAAAATAGTTTTGTATACGCTTCTATATATTTAGACTCTCGATATCAGGTTTTCTTGATTATTGAGCAAAACCAAATGGCTAAAGATCATCTTAAGGATTTATGGCATACGCAAAATTCCATTATTTACAATATATTGGAGGCTACGACAACAATGCTTAATGGTTGTAGTGATAATGATGGAAATGATAGCAACATTGATGATCGTAAAATTTTACTTTTAGAGTGAGAAAATCAAATTATCATCAAATAGAAAGGAGGATCAAAAAAAGCGTATTGCATTTTTAGGAGAAAAGTTCTCAGAAGTTAAGAGAATAAATAAGACAAATATTTTAAAATTCTGGAAAGAAAATTCTTCAATATATCCAGAATTATATATCTTGTCTAGAATCGTAATGGCTGTACCGGCGGCACAAGTGCAATAATTTATGTATTATAAAGATAACTATCTATTTTAGGTAAGTGTGAACGTGGATTCTCATTCTTGAAATATATATTGTCTAATTTACGTGGAAATCTCAATGATGATAATTTAGAAGATATTTTAATTGTGCGATTAAATAAAACATTTAAAATATAAATTATTTCATTTTTAATTTTGTAAATTATGATCGGGTATTGAAGTATAATAAATTAATGGAAAAAAAAGTCTTATTTTAAGTCATTTTTTTATGTTCCCTGAACCCGGACCCTGAGCCTGGACTCTTTTTAAATTTTATTACTGTTCCCGAACCCGGACCTGGACCTTTTTTTTGTCGAAAGATTCACATCCCTGCTTTTACAGATGAACCGTTTTTTCCATTGATGAATTGATATTTAAAAAAAATTAAATTATTAAGAACATGTTGAATAGATTATTTTGAGACTATTTATTTACGCATTATTCGATTAATTTCGAGTGTAAGTAAATAATAACTTTGAATATTAATATTTACAAATAATGTGACCTAAAAATAAAGACGAGATGAATATTCGATGAATTATATTTTTTATCATGATTCCTTGTATTCGTTTCAAATTTTTGACTCAAATTATTGTGTTCTAATAAAATCGCATTACTAATAATTCATTTTATTAATATTTTTAAATTTTGGCTACAAAAATAAATATTAATTTTACTCTATGATATATTTATATAGATTCTTTATTATTGTATAGGATACTTTATCCTGCAATAGTATCGAGTGTGAAAGGTAGATAATCGAGCCAATTAATTTGTCAAACGGGGAATCTTTTTTTCTAGGGAAATATTTTCCGGGAAATTATTTTCTCTTAAAATATTATTCCTGAGATTTTTTTTTCCCGAGGAAATATTTTTCGGGAAATTTTTTTCAAGAGGAATAATTTTCTGAAGATTTTTTTTCTCCGGGGAATTATTTTCCTATATTTATCACTGGTACATATGTGTCGTATTAACAAGGTTGGAATGTATCACAGATACTTGTATCTTTTTAAAATTTTTATAAATATTTTTATATAGTAACAAAATTGTCAGTATATTATTCATTTTACCATTATAAATAATAAAAGGTCAGTATCTTAGATTCAAGTATAAAATTTTCATTAAATATAGGATATTTGATGTATTTTAATAGATTTATCAGTAAATAAATTTTTCCCTCTGTATTTTAATTGATTTATGAGTAAATGCATTAGCCTCCCCCCCCCCCCATTATCTTAATTATACTACCAGTAAAATAAGTATACACTTTTCAAATCAATTTGCCACTAATAAATTCAATATTATAATAATTAATTTTATCCAAATTTTGGTATTAATATATTGATTCATTCATTTTACACGTTGGTCTACAATCCATCCTACAATGAATTCACCTCACCTTCATTTTGTTGTCTGATAAATTTAACATTTTCCAGTTGAATACTTTTCTTCTCAATTTATAAATATAAAAATTTGGAAGATTTAATGATAAATAAAAAGTTTTATATGACTCTTTTTTTTATAAGGATGATATAAAAACTGAAAAATCGCCACTAATTATTAGCATATTTTTAATATAAAAATCAATAAAAACATGCAAAAAATCTGAAAATTATTTATCCCTTTATATTAGTATAAATTTATAAAAAACAATGTTATTTATACGTATGTGATACGTGATATATAGCGCTTTTGCCCTCTAACGTTGAAGATTCAACAGAGCTACGCTAGGTTTTCCTCATTTCCATCTAATTGGAACAATTTAATTTGGGTATAAAAATAAAAATATGAGGAGCCCTCCACACGTTTGTGGGCAAGCCGCACGTACTTGTAGGCACAAAATTTCGAAAACTGTTGCTTAAACCTCTATAGGCTTTAATTTAGAAGGAGTGGGACAAAGAAAAAGCCTATACCCGAGAACTACAGTATAATTTAATTACTTTAAAGGTGGGTGATGGCTGATTTTAAGCTTAATTTCTTTAATGTAAGTTATATCTGTAAATAAATATGATTAAAATAAAATAATATTTACCACCGGATGAACCGAACCCCACATGTTATTTATATTATATACAATTTTTCAAAATCACGTGAGTACCAGGTGTGATCTAAAGAAGCTACATAAACATAAATTGCTTATATCTTAGTATCAAATAAAAATAGATAACACTTTGCAAAATATGTGTTTAGGTAAAATAGAAGGGACTGAATAAAAAAAACCAAGTCATGTAGTAACCATTTAAATGTCTATGAGATGTTGCTAGACTCCGATACACTAACACACTGACAACAATAATTGATAACCTAGATTGCCAATTCCTTCTCGTTAAAATGCGATTAAAAAGTGTATATACATTGAAGTGCCAATGACATTAACTAAAATACATCAATATATGTATACACTTTTAATAAATGAATCATCATTATCTAGGTTGGTATTAGTATTCCCGCCATTGAGTATACCAATCATAGATTAAAATAGAAAGGTTAAAATATATAAACCTAAAAATTAGTTGTCCGATATGTGTTTTGAATAAATAGAGTGGCTAATGAAAATATATATGTGTATAATATCGAATTCCTCCTAGCAATTTTTATGTTTAATCTGTTTGATCTCATCCAAAAATTCAGACTTGGGCCATTTACAAATCCCTATAAATTTTGTACGAAGTCACACTTTCCACGAAAATCATTTTAAAAAATTATTTATTAATGATTATAATAATCTGCCAAACTTTATTATTATTTATCTAGTTAACACCCCAAAATACAAAAATTAACAAGTTGGCACATAAATATATTGCAAATACAAATATATTACATCTCCTCCCAATTTATTCCATGCCAAACTCCCGACGATATCACAACTGATCTAAATATTTCCTCTGAACACTATATTCCATCTAAGTCATATCTCTATAAATATTTTCACATCAAAATTCTTGCCTTCATTCCAACCATAACCTAAAACTTTTATCGTCCATAACGCTTTTCTCGGTTCTTCACTTTTAACATGATAATTTTATGGTAATCGCATATTTTCTGAATCGTTGGAATATTTCTCTCACATAATATTTGTTCGAACGAATTTTTTAGTAGTCGATTGAGATGTGTTTCGATAAGTCATAATATCTGAAGCATGGCCAACTCTCAATCATTTTAATTCATCAAAGCATAATATATTGACTTTAAGGTTCTACCACCCACTCTACCACATTATTGATTTAAGTGAATAGAGAGTACTCATAAGTTTTAGCACGTAATTGTTTCAAATTTTTTTAAAATTATTTGGGACACTGTCTCCCTTTTTCATTTATAAACATTTCAGGTAAACCACATCTGAAGATGTGTAACTTTCTTTGTTATTATCACCAAAATAATTTGCATAATGGTAGGTACTTCAACTCATTTTGATAGGCTATCTACTAATCATTATTTTTTTTAGTGTAACCTGCGATTTCCAGTCTAGGTCTACTCGAACAAAATAAAATTTTCGATTGAATAGTATATGTGAAAAGACTTTTTACTCATGCATCCACATTATGATATTTTTGAACACATGACATAATGTATCGTCTCGCGTTCGACCCTAACATGCATGTGTAGCTGGATGAAGAGTTGTAACGCATTTTCATGGAATGAGGATTAGGCTTCCCAATATATTTATTACTTTTTCTGAATGTTAATTTGTTTCTTTTATTCCAAAAGACTTTTTGTCCATTTAGCCTAATAAATACTAGGAATTAGCTTTAACCCAGATACCTGCTGGGGGAATGAGAAGAGAGTAAAGGTCGATGCGGCATTTAATGTCGATCTGTCCTAATCGGCACAGTCCGTCAATTATCTTCCTTCCTCCCAATTAGGCTCCTCTAACCTTATTCCAGTGTTGATAAAGGACATATTTAACCTACTTTAAATTACAGTAATTTTAAATAGAGTCTTTTAACCACACTACCTATTCCCCCTTTAAGCAGGGCTTCAACATTGAAAATTTTTGAATCTTCAAATAATCATTAATTTGTAAGAGGCTTAACAAAACAATAAATTAGACGTCTTTTATCATTTTTATCTTATTTGCTATGGGAAAGAACAAATTATTATACATTCAACCCCGTATAATTTGGGCCCCGTAGGGACCAAGGTTTTTGTCTAACTTAACAGTTGCCCAATTTATCAAAACCTTTTACTTTTTGATTTTACCATATATTATATTCATAATTTAGCCAAATGTGAGATTATGTCCATCCAAAATCATGAGTAAAGTTATGGTTTATTACAAAACAAATGGTTGTACAAATATTTGTTATATATAAAATATATAAATAATAATATAAATATAAAATATAAGATGTTTTTGTTCGTTTATTGCTACAATATGTTTTATTTTTATGGTGTTCGATAATGTCCTCTTAGGATTTCTGAATAATTCCTTAAGAAATATTAAATCTTTTAGCACATTCTCTTTGAATATGATGATTTAGTTTAATACCCTCATCTTTTTTAATTAACAAAGACTCCTTCTATTTATACTTTGTACTATATGAAATAATTCTTAAGAGTATTTTTGCCCATTAATCTAGATTTGGAACAATATATTGAATTTTAAATGCTTAATATTCTTTCAATAAGTTTTTTTTTCGAGACCTATATTATATAGTTATTCATAGGCCGATTATATATATATTTTATCATCAATTTATATTTGAATTTATATATTAGAAATTGTCAATATTTTATGGTTATTAGTCCTAATAAATTTATGAAACTTAAGATATTCTTAAATAACTCCAAGAATAAAATTTTTTAATTACCTCCCCCCCCCCCTTTTTTTAAAGGCCTGAGCGGTGATATAGGCAAGTAGTCAAATAGACCTGTGGCATCTTTGGAAAATGTGACACCAAAATAAGATGGATTGGTTATGGTAAAATTGAAAACTATAACTTATTTTCCTTAAGTGATATTAAGCTATTGTTTGGTAAAGTAATGTTTAACACTACAGTGCAAGTGCGCATTTACAATTGAAAAATAGTCATAGCGTCTTTGGGAAGAATTCTGATTTTTAATTTTCTTTTAATCTTTCTTTAATATTGTTAATTAGTAAATTTTTAAAGATTTTCTCGTTTACTTTTTTGATTAGAAGAAATTTCCTAGTTGATTATATAGAATTAAAAATTTTAGGAGTGGATTTTTTAAATTTGAAATAAATGAAAGCTAATTTCTGGAAAAAAGTATTATTATAACAAAATTTTACAATAAAATTTTTCGCAGGGGGGGGGGGGTTTCCACTTAACTTGCCTACACCACTGTATAAAACATTGATATACAAAAAAATTTAAAGGGGAAGATAAGTTTTGAATCCCTCCAAAACTAAGATACCAAAGTTTGGGAGGGGATAAAATCAAAAAATACTTAAAAAATTAAAAGAAAGAAAAAATCACAATGGACCCTTTGATCTTAACCCTGTCCTTATAAATATGAGAACTAAGGAGATTTGAAAGACATTACTTAGAAATTAGAATATATAAAAGGCATTAAATATTTTTTAAAATTTATAGTAATCTACGAATAAATCTTGCGCAATATGTTAACAATTTTACGCAATTGCTATCATCATTTTAATTATATTAAATTTTGTTTTCAGTATACTCGGAATTATTATTATTTTAGATAATGTTTTTTGATTTAAGTGTATCGCAACTCTTCTATTTAATATATAAATTCAGTTTTCGCACATTCGCTGAGTAATTCATATTTTCGGGATATAAGGGTATTACTATATATTTTTTAAAATATTTATAGACCATATTTTAAAATTAATTCCGAAATATATTAAATTTTAGTTATACCAGCTGATACATTAACATATTTAAATTAAGGATGGATTTTCATGGAAGGAACATTAACTCTATGAGATCAGTTTCCGGTGTAGATTTTTCGGGATCATCTAGCCCATTTTATCCACCGGGATTTCAAAATACGGGATTTACTCAAACAGATATATTCGAATTAACGAAAATCACTCAGTTAATAAAAACTAAATATCCTTATTATAATTCTAATCAAGTCAGTCAAGTGACATTGGACACATGGCAAAAAGTATTTTATTTATTTCTAGTCTATATTTATATTACTATCGAAAATTTTATTAGTATATATTGTCTAAAAAATAAATGGCGTTTAATTCAAAAGTAATATAATCAAATATCATGTAATTAAAAAAACAAATTTCATTAATAGCTAAGAAACCACCCAGATCCTTATGTTAGGCAAAGCATAGTGAGCCAGCTATTGGAAGGACCTATTGTAATGGCAGATGAAAATATAGAAGCTTCCCAAGAAGTCTTGGAAGCTGTAACGGCTATTAAAGAAGGAATTACTAAACTTAAAGGAACAGCGGAAGGTTTCTTTATAATTGTTTTTAAAAGTTTTCCTAGTATAGATATTTAAAATTGTATCTCAAAAAGAATTTCATGGTGCATCCCAAAATCCGGTTAGGCTCATAGACCCAATCCGTAGAAGGTGATGTGAAATTTTGAAAATCCGGGCCGGACTTAGAAATAAGAATTTACGAATCACGCTCATGCCTAAATTTTTTTTTTATAAAGCACATCGGGCTGGGTTTGAAAATAATAATTTTTTTTAAATCTGAGCCATAATCTCTTTAAAGTTTTTGCTATTTATTATATTCCAATTCAAGATGAAGGGTTAATTTAGTCCATCCCTATAGTATTTTTATTACTATTCTAATTTTAAAATAGAATGTATGTTAAATGTTAATTTAATCATAAAAATCAGTTAATGCTCTTATAAAAAGGTAAGTATTTTATATGATTAATTTACACTTTCAGATATTAAGATAATCGAGGAAGCGATATCCTCAATTCCGTCTATCGATGTCGAAAAAATACGTGAGGAGGCAGAAAATGCCCATTTTCAGGTATACATATGAATATTAAAAGCGTATAATTATATAAAAAAAATAAATTATATTTGAGATGGAGGTAGAGCGCGCTAGACAACAAAGGGCGCAAATAGCTAGGTTGGTCACTCCGGAAAAAAAGGCAAGGAAATCTAGATCTAAAGGAAAGGCGAAGAGAAAAAAAGGTTTAAATAAATATATGTATATACTATATATCAGAGACATGCAGGCCCCTAATTTTTTTTAAAAAAATCCGGAAATGGCCGAAATGATATTTTTTTAAAAAATTCGAGCTAGACCGGGCCTAAAATACTAGGGCTGGGTCGGCCTAAAAAATTTTTTTTTAAATAAATACGGTCCCGGCCGGGCCGTGCTAGTGGTATATCGCCAGGTCTCTGCTATATAAAACATATACACTTTTAAGGGCACCAGCACACAAACATTTATGCAAATATATTCTATTGTTACTTTATTTTTATTTAAATTGAAAAAAAAAGATAAAAAAGCTAAGAAGAAAAAACCCAAAAAGACTAGCAAGAAAGAAAAAAAGAAAAAGCAGAAGCAGAAGCCGAAGAAGAAGAAGAAATTAAAGAGCGAATCTGAGACAGAGGGACCTTCCGAAAGCGATGTTTCCGCTTCCGAAACAGAAGTAGAGGAGTCAGAAACTGCTGCATCGGAAAGTAAAATCAATAAATATTCAATTTAGGCCGTGTCCGGGATAATCTTATTTTTGTAATTTAAATCTGTTTAGGAACTATGGACACCCTATTCTGTTTTGTTTTAAGTGAGTTTACGAAATCTAATTTCCCTCTTTCTTTTTATTCTGATTAGAGGAAGCTATATAGACGGCTCAGAATGCTATTTAAAAATAAGGGGAGTCAGGACATGGCCATGTGATTTGTTTTGATATTTGGTTTTTCTGAAAGTTAAATAATTTCAAATTTCGTGTAGAAAAAAATATTCTGAATCTTTAATGAACTCCGCTCCGCACTTTGAGAATCTTAAATTAAACCTTATAACATTTCTTTTAAAAATATAGTCATGATGGCGTAAGATTGAATATTTATTAAATGATTTTTCTAAAAATTGAAATGCTAAAATATAATAAAATTTTCTAAAAAAAATTAATTTTTATTAACAAAGGTGAAAGTTCGGTAGCTAGTAGTAAAGGTAGTAAAAAGAAAAAGAAAAAGAGTAGCAAGAGCGAAGATAAGAGTGATAATGAGACCGATGAAGAAAGTTTAAAAGAGAAGGATAAAAAAGAAGGAGGTAAAGAAGTAAAAGATAAACCTGACGAGAAAAAAAAAATGGAAGAAGATAAAGATTTTGACAAGAACAAAGATATTGACAAGAATAAAGATATTGATAAAGATAAAGATATTGACAAAGATAAAGGTATTGATAAAGATAAAGGTATCGACAAAGATAAAGATAAAGATGACAAAGATAAAGATATTAACAAGGGTAAAGATAAAGATTTAGCGACCAAAGATACGGATGTCTCTAAAGATAAAGACTCTCCTTCGACTCCTGAAAATATGCCAGGTCAACCCACTCCCCAAACTGGAGGGCCAGGTTCTCCTAGAGCACCACTTCCATCCTCCTTACCTGGAGCACCTCCTAGAGGACCTTCTGTTCCTGGACAATTGGGATCTCCTGGCGCACTAGGAAGTCCCAGATCTGGACCACCTGGAACCGCCGCGAGGCCAGCAGCAAATTTGGGAAGTCCAAGATCAAGTCCCCCTGGGGATCTATCAAAACCACCAGGTGCTCAAGATGGTGTCAAACCAACTCCACCAGGAGTTCCACCAAAACCTCCGGGTGCTGATACGCCAGGGTCACCTGGTCAACCAGGTGCTAGAATGCCAGTTCCAACTAGTGGTCCGCCCGGTGCAAGAATGCCAGTACCACCTGGATCTCCTCCCGGCCCTCCAGGAGCAAGAACATCTGGTCCACCTGGAGCCCCTGGGGCTCCACCAGGAATTCGAGGACCTATTCGAGCTGCAGGCGGATCACCAAGATCCGCTCCTCCTGGTCCACCTGGAGCTCCACCTGGAGCTCGACCAGGAGGTCCAGGGCCCACTAAAGCTGCAGGCGGATCACCAAGATCCGCTCCCCCTGGTCCACCTGGATCAACACCTGCTAAGCCTACTGGACCACCTGGGGCTTCCGCAGATAGACCAGGCGGACCGGGCGGTCCACCTGGTGCTGGAGCTAGACCACCAGGACCACCAGGAGCCGGGGCACGTCCAGGAGCTCCTCCTGCACCTCCAGGAGGAGCTCCACCTGGAATGAGACCAGGAATGGCTCCACCAAGAGTTCCACCTGGAGCAGCACCAGGAGCCAGAGCACCTCCACCTCCAGGAGCTGTGAGAGGCCCACCGCCTCCAGTCATCCGGCCTTAAAACGGTGAGAATTAGCAGTCCTCTGTTGTATTTCTTTTGTTAATGTTAAATTATTTTATAAATAAATTTTATTTATGATTTTCTTATAAAAATTATGATTTATCAATAAAGTTTATCATTTGTATATTTGTGTAATAAATTTTATTTTTTACATTTGTTCTGAGAGATATATTTACAACGGATGATATTATTTTTAAAGAACCCGATGCCATCTATGAGCAGTATATACATAATATTATTTTAGCTAAAATCTTAATCGGGTCGTTTTTAAAAATAAACCCTAATCGGGCTTTTTGATAATCCTAGAATTTTCCATATTCTTTATACAAAATAATGTTGTATAACCCTCAAAATCAGGCATTCCTTGCCTTTTAAAATTAAATTTTATTTATCTTTCTAGCATAGAAAAGATGACTGCCAACTGAAAATTTTTAACAATTGCTCTATTCATAAATCATTGTCAAAGAATGTTTAAATGCAGGGGGGACCAGGGTAAAACGATTGACGGGCTAACAATGCTTACTAAATATATTTTTAAACTTTGAACATAAAGACCTTAAACCTTGTGTGAAGATGTATTTTTATATCTAATTTCTTACCTTTCATTTTTTAAAAAACTTTTAGTTTGACATATTTTGCCAAAAAAACGTTTTTTTTACCCTAAAATAAAAATTAACCTCTAGTTTACTTTAGTGATCTGCATCGGGCCTATCAAGCCCGGCCAGGCCCGAATCTGACATTTTTTAAAAAAAGTTTTGCCAGCCCGGCCCGAACCCGATTTTTTTTTAAAAAAAATTTACAGGCCCGGCCCGAATTTATTTAAATAGAGAAATTAATTATTATAATTACTCAAAATATGTCGTTTAGTTTTAATAAATAAAATCAAATATTTTTATTTTAATTCAATATAAAATTGATAAATTTAGATATATTTAATAAAATTTCCAAGGTCCGACCCGACACGGCCCGAATTTTTTTAAAAAATATTAGGCCAGGCCCGAACCTAATTATTTTAAATAAAATTAGGCCCGAGTCCGGCCCGAATTTGCAGATCTCTATTACCTTGCTTTTTGCCAAATATATAAAGGCTCAAAACATTTCTATATATGTTCTTTAAAACCTTAGCTATAAAAAATGTATCGGAAGTTTGTAGCATCACTAGAAGTTATGCAATAATGATTTGTTCAATCTATCTCACCTTGGGGTAAAGTTGTTATGGGTAAAACGGTTTTAAGGGCTAAATTTTAAATATGGTCGTCTAAACCATATAAAAAGATACTTTTGAATAATTTATGTATTATTTGAAATAAAATTAGAATAATCGTAAAGGAGAAGATTAATTGAAATGTACGATGTGCCAAAAATAGGCACACTCGAAATGTGCTATTTTTGATATAATTTTTTATATTCCCGTATTGTATTAATTAGTTTATACTAAAAGTCATTAATAGATGTCAAAATTGCAATATTTTGTTTAATTAAACAATATAGTGTGTTCAATTTTATTTTAACCACTTTACCCTAATGCTCTTAACCCCGGGTATGGGGTAAAGTGACAAAAATATCTATCTTCACCTAATTTCCGGTCCTAAAGTAACAGAGAGCTATACATTTTTTTATTTTGTAGATGAGGGATTTGACTACATATAAATCTATAATTTTTCCTGTTTTGTTTATGTTTCAAAATTTTATGATAAAAATGCAAAATACCAATCGTTTAACCCCGTTCTAATAAATAAATCTTAGATTTTAAATAAGTAGAATCACTCAAAATGTGGGATGTTTTTAAAATCTATCTTGCATTCTATATTTTGTTTGTTACTTGATTTAAAAATGCTTTAATTTTTTTCCCCCCAAATTAACAACTTATACTTTTTAACTAGATAATGGTTAAAAGACGAACTCCGATTATTAAATATTATAATGATTTTAAAAAAATAAGTAAATTGTCCATCAAATCTGCCCAACAATGTTTATATCAATTTTAAAATATGCGAATTAAGGACTACTTACCATATTATATAATATATTTTACCTTATAAAGTGTTTTTAAAATTGTAATATATTAGAAGAGAACTGTAAGGCCAACCCCGCTATGGCCAATTTAAAATTTTTGCAAATGTTGATCGGAGCGTTAAATTTTTTGCCAGGCCCGGCCAGTTATAATTTTTAAAATCCTGTCCGTTCAAATTTACGCCCAGACCTATTACATTTTTTTGTACGAATTTGGCGTCATATTTTTAATATTTATATCTATTTTTTTTCCAATGTCAATTTCTTATATCTCTTCTGTATGATAACCTATTTCCACACAACAGTTTTATAAATAAAGTGTTTGATACTGAATTGTGTATTTGTAATTGAATCATATCATAAATAAATTGTTTAATTATTTCTGAATTTACTAATCTGGACCGCTGATATTATAAAATCCGGGCAGGGCAAGAATTTTTTTTTTGCTTGTAAAAGATTTTAAAAATTAGAATATACGTTTAAAAAGATAATTATAAATTTTATTTATCTAACAAAGATTGTAAGATTTATAAGTACGCACGCCTATATAAACATGTAAATTTTATTAATATTGAATAAAAATTACATAAAAATAGTAATATTTATAAATAACTAAAATTCAGAAATTCTACTCGATATGTTTCGACATATAATAATGTAAATAAATTAGGCTGTTATTTTTATTATATTATAAAAGACCCGCAATATCTTCTTCGCCACGAATATCTGCATGAATTCAGGTGGAATAAAGATTAGATCCATATCCGGAATATGACTTTTGTTGAATTTTGTTAGCAATTCTTTTATTTTATTTAAAACCATCATTTTTCATGATTTAAAATTAATGAATAATCTATAGGAATCATTTTTAGAGTTGATTTGGATGAATGGTATAAAAACATAACTTATAAAATTTAAAATTTTGATCAAATATCGGATTCTGGATGCGGGCCTTTTTCATATAGTTAATATAGATAGAATCATAGTCTGAATTTTCTAGGGGAGAAAGTCCTATTATGAAGGTTAGCCACATAAATTATATTATTTTAGTCTGTTATATTTTCGGTACATAGGTCATTGAGAGTATAAGACGTAAAAGGGACAGGGTAGTTATAGGATTTGGTGCGCCGGCTGCTAGCTCAGGTTTTAGAATATGAGGGCTATCTTTAACTATGATGGACTTAGGTGACTCACGGTAGAAGGAACTAGACACAAGTCTATTTATTTCTAACTTTACTTAATTTAAGAGAACTGTAAATGAATTTGAATCAAAGTCAATTTGCTTCTAGCTTTACTTAGAGGACGGTAGAAGAAATAGACATAAAACAATATTTCATAATATAAATGATTTAAAGTAACTTATAATATAATTCGTTATTTTTGAAATGTAGCTGTGGCTAGTAACTAGTTATATCTAAAATAACTAGTAATTGTGTAACATGTTCCTTTTTCAAATGTAACTTTTGACAACACTAGAATTTACCATATAAGTTTACGAAGAATTTAAAGATATGTAACCTTCCAATTTAATCATTAAAACAATAATTGAAATTAAAATAAAATGACTATCTTATTTTCATTCATTATACTACAAATTTATTTTTTGTTATCTTTTTCATTGCTTCACGTTTTGTTATTAAAAGAAATTTTTTTACTGATTAAATGGCGATAAAATTATAAAGTTTCACTAATCATTTATTATAATGGATTTTATTCTTTCTTTAAAGTGTCAATATGTCATGGGTGGGCCTAAGATTTTGTTAATCTCTCGAGATTGCATAGCTAAAGCTGATCAATTTTGTTATTGAGATTTTCATAAATATAATTTAAAATTAACTGTTTAAAATATTTTATAATAAAGTTTGTGGGTTACAAAGGTGCATCCCCCCTTCCCCCTACATAAAGTTTAAAAGAAGGAATAATATTTTGGGTTCAGTATTAGAACGAGTTATACTGAGATTGTAAAAAAAAATATAATATAATTTGTTTGCCTCAATATAACATTTTAAGAAAAGATGTTTTATTCTCCATTCCATAGTGAAATAAAAGAGATTTATTTAGTATAATCTTTTTAATATTTTAAAGTTAAACAATTTCGATCATAACGATTTGAAGGATAAAATAATATTAGAATTTTAAAACGATTTTTCTGTCCTGATTTTAAACAAGCCTGATACAATTTTTTTGAATAAAGATATTAATAATGTTCACATTATTTCGAGTTTCTTCAAAAATTAAAAATTTCGGCTAGGCTCATTCTGAAAAATATTATTACTGATAAGGCTATGCACATCTTTAGAGGAAATATACTTATAATCTCTCATCTTTTTTTAAAAAAAAATCCTTCACGTGTCAATGATCCCAAAGACTAAACATTTAGCAAATGCCTACAATATAATAATATGGAGGACTTTTCAACCGTCGAAAAGATTAGATTCTTGATTATTTAAAACGCCTCAACAAGTTTCTACATTGGTTTTATTTTTTTAAAAAAATACATATTTTCAAAACAAAAAAAACTTTTAATCCTCTGGGTATTTCGTATCCATAATCTGCCCAAATCATTCATTTATATTTTGAGAATTCTTATTAATTTAAATATAAAAGTATATGGCAAAAAAATAGAATAGTTCCAATCAAAAACCCTTACAATACAAGTATGATTTTCTTTTATAAATTATTTACCATATATATTTATTTTCCTCAACTTAAAATATGGTTAATAAAAAAAATTTTCATTTACTTTGAAAAAGAAAGTGGTAAATTAAAATAGTATCATATAGACAATCCGTGAATGAAGGAACCAATATTCAAGATGTTTATAAGGGCATTTTCATTTTATATCAATTCTTCCTTCATTTTTTGAAAAAGAGAAGTAATTTAGAAAGAACGCGCTTAAAAACTATACCGTGGGTGAAACGCATTCTTCCCCTACGAGACTGATCTTATATCCTAAGCTTTAGATCAGTGCTGAGTTTAATAATTCTATATTTTACGTTTATATAATGTCAATTTTTGCAGTTCTTCATTCTTTCTCAAATGCTCTTGGTATGATATATTTTTCAAATAATCCTGCTTTTGCTCATAAATTAAATCATCTAGTATTTCTATTAGCTGAATACATTTATCCTAATGATTTAAAATTTTCTACATATTAATATAAGCTATAAAATAAAAGTTATTTGGTAGTTCATAGCTTAAATTAGAAGCCACACTTTAACGATTTATATAAATATCTTATGAGTAGAGCGGCTTTAGGAAAAATTATTAATGTTTTGTTTGATTAAAGCTATAGAAAAAGAATTTTGAAATACAAACGTCTACTCTATATAGAAAAAAATTTGAACATTAGTTTATCATATATGGAATAGAAATTTTAAAAATTTATAACTAAAATTAATTAATAGATATGTCCTAGGCATAATTTTTTATTCAATTTTACAATAAATTATGTTCAATTTTATTAAAACCTAGACCTTGGTGCGGGACCATTTTACCCTGGGTATGAGGTAAAATGGCGAAAATTTCGTATTTCACATTAATAATTAACACCTTTATTTTTATTTAGTAGGTTAGGACTAGGGTTACATATTTATAATTTATTCTGTTTTGCTTTTGCTTTAAGGTTTTATAGTGAAGATACAAAATTCCAACGTTTTCTACTATTTCTTCTTACTATTTCATTTATATAATTAATATTAAAATGATATGGAATTTAATTAATGCATTTTAATAATATCGTTAAATTAAATGGATTATATAACTTAAATAATTAGGCGAAAAATATAAATGACGAATTTATTATTATAAAATTATAATCATTAAAAATAATCCATAAATACAATTTTAAATAAGAATAATTCGTAATATTAACTAAAAATATAATATTATAATGTTTGGGAATTCTTTTTGAAAACAGTTCTAAGGCCTGACAGCTGGGGGTGGCGGACCTCTCACAGCTCCAGGAGGTGGCCTCATTCCTGGTGGGGCTCCTGGTGGGCCCGCAGGTGGTCCTGGCATTCTAGGAGGAGCCATTCCGGGTCTCATTCCAGGAGGTGGTCCCCCAGGAGGTCCAGGGGGGCCTCCTGGCCTTGCCAAAGCTCCTGGTGGTCCTGGTGGTCCAGGGGGGCCTCCTGGTCTTGCCAAAGCTCCTGGTGGTCCAGGTGGTCCTGGAGGTCTAGCCATAGGTGCGCCAGGTGGTGCGGGTGGTCCAGGTGGTCCGGGTGCCCTAGCCATGGGAGCGCCAGGTGGAAGAGGTGGGCCAGCTGGTCTAGCCATAGGTGGTGCAGCTCCGGGTGCGCCAGGTGGGCCAGGAATTCTTGAGCCTGGAGGACCAGGAGGGGCTCCAGGAGGCCCTGGCATTCTTGCACCTGGTGGACCTGGTGGGGCTCCAGGCGGGCCTGGAATTCTTGTTCCTGGTGGAGGTTGACCAGTAGGGCCTCCAACTGTAGCGGGCATTCTAGCATCTGGTGGACCAGGTGGTCCCGGCATTCCAGTTCCTGGAGGTCTGGGTGGGCCTCCAGGTGTTCCTGGTAGTCTTGCACCAGGTGGGCCGGGTGGCCCGGGCATTCCAGCTCCTGGAGGTCTTGGAGGGCCCCCAGGTGGGGCTCCAGGAGGGGCTCCAGGTGCGCCTGGCAGTCTAGTACCTGGTGGACCAGGTGGTCCTGGTATTCCAACTCCCGGGGGTCTTGGTGGGGCTCCAGGTGGACCGGGTCTTGGACTTCCTACAGCTCCCGGTGGTCCAGGTGGCGCTAATCTGGGACCTCCCAAAGCTCCTGGAGGCCCCGGTGGCCCAGGTCTGGGACTTCCTAAACCTCTCGGAGGCCCAGGTGGAGCTCCAATTGGACCTGGTCTGGGACTTCCTACGGCACCTGGGGCTGGTCTTGGAGGTGCTTGTCCAGGTTGAGGAGGAGCTTGAGGTGGTCCTCTAGGTAAGCTCTGCCCAGGTGGGGCTCCTGGTCCAGTTGGTGGAGGTGGTGCTCTAGGAGAACTCAGGATTGGTCTAGGTGGCGGTGAAAGACCTTTATCTTTTGAGGCATCTTTATCCTTTACGTCTTTCTCTTTCTCTTTCTCTTTCTCTTTCTCTTTCTCTTTCTCTTTCTCTTTATCTTTGTCTTTGTCTTTATCTTTATCTTTTTTATCTTTATCTTTGCTGCCTTTTTTCTTCTTTTCGCTTCCTTTACTGGCCGAGTCTTCAGCTTTGGGGTAATATAATATGATACTTATATTTTAGCATATTTATAATTTTTGAGAATGTATCTATCTTATGTTACCCAAAACTATACAAAAGATTTATTGTTTCTAGAGACTTAATATTTTTTTGCTCATTATAGTTTTCTTTATTTATAAGCACACATGGGTTGCCGATTAATTTTCATAAAGTATAATATTTGTTAAAATAATTTAAAATTATAATATATTTTTTACTATCAGAGCCCTCTGATTCTGATTCATCTTTCTCTGTTTCGGAAACCTCGCTTTCGGAAGGTTCTTCCGACTCAGATCCCTTCTTCGATTTCTTTTTCTTTTCATCTTTCTTGCTACCCTTTTTCGTTTCTTTTTTATCTTTTTCATAATATAATAAATATAGTTATGAATGTAAAATGTAGTTATATCAAGCAATTGAAAATAACTCATGAATTTTGTAATTCAGGAGAAAAAAAAAGAGAAAAAAATAATATGAATTTTATTTTAATATAAATTAGAGACCTGCAGAGGTGTTTTTTACGGCCCATCCCGTATTTCCGGACAGGATTGGGCTTAGGACCGGACATAAGGTCTCTAATATAAATGATTATATAACTATTTTACCTTTTTTCGCTAATTTTTCTTTGGATTTAGCTTTCGCCAATTTTTCTTTAGATTTAGCTTTCACCAATTTTTCTTTCGATTTAGCTTTCGCTAATTTTGTTTCCGAGGCCTTGACTTTCGCAACCAATTTAGAATTTTGTTGTTTAATATGCTCCATCTTTAATGTGTAATTTTAAAAATGAATGAAATTGAAATTTTAACCTTCCATTATATATATGTAAATTTACCTTATCTGTCTCTTTCTGTATTTTCTCAAGATCTGGAGAAGGAATCGAGGATATAGCTGCTCCAATTAACTTAATATCTGTATATGGTAGGTTATTTTTTGGAAAATATTATTTTATAAAATTTTTTTCATTTATTTTTGTTTTTTAAATATATGAATTTATTGTTCCAAGTTGTGGATAAATATATTATTTATGATAATTCTTTGGAAATTGGTAATTTTATTTAGGATTTTTGTCAAAAAAAAACCTTCTGCTGTGCTTCTAAGTTTAGTAATTCCCTCTCTAATGGCGAGTACGGCATTCATAATTTCTTGAGAAACTTCTGTCATATCATCGGTCATCTCGACAGGTCCCTCCATTAGCTGATTCAATATGCTTTGTCGAATGTAAGGATCTGGTTGGTTTTTTAACTATTTTATAAAATCATTTTTGAATATTTTCTTAGGCCATGTCCAAAGTCATTTTTAAAAAAAATTCAAAATGTTTGAAAACTTTCCTAGATTTTAAAATTCTAGTGTATGTTAAATTTTTGAAATATTTTTAAAATTTAATTATGTTTTGGACATGATTTTTTTTTTAAATTTAAAATGGCCTATATATATATATATTAATTTTCATTAAAGTTCCGAAAGTTTGTGGTTTTGTTAAGTAGCTTCCATTTTTTATAAACGACTAGCCCACTATTTTATTCAAAAAATATTATGCAAGCCTGGAGATTTTGTTCATAAATGGCAGAAAGGGTTGTACATCTATTAACGAAATCTCCGGGCTTGCGTAATATTCTTTTGGGTATAAGCTTATTTAAAATCGGCGAAATAACAACACTATTTCATTCAATGTTGGGGGTTGGTTGGAATGATCATTAAAATCCTTTAATTTTGATAGTATCATAGAATTTTTTATTCTTTTGAAAGAAAGAAAACTAAATAAAAACTTATGGAAAATATCAAGTTTTTATTTTTTAACATCGATAAAATAGCAAAAATTACCGATAATGATTATAATTTTTTTCTGGAATAATGACTTATCAAGAATCTTCAAGTGAAATTTCAAATTTAATAGCATCCACTATGGCGATATTTCAAGATTTGAAAAATATGCTCTTTTTTTACCGGAAATGGATATTCCAACACGTATCGAGTGACTACCCTATCGAACAGACAATTTTTTGCCATAAAGTTTATTTATTTTTTTAAATAATTTAAGTATAAATTAAAAGTATGGTTCATAAGCTAATGGCAAAATTATTTGAAATTTATTAGGGTAGGAATATGATAGGTGTAATACATTCAGGAATATATGTGTATATTCCTCCAGAAAAATTCCCTCATTACGAGTAACAAGCATATATCATAAAAACAATTATCTTTACAGCAACTATAGACAATTTTAAAAAATAAATAAAATATAGTGAATAATTTTCATATATCAAAATTAAATACCCTTTGCCAGGTATCCATTGCCATTTCACTGATTTGATTGGAGCTATAGTGAGGATATTTGGCTTGTATTAAACTTGAGATTTTTGACAATTCATACATATCTGTTTGAGTTAATGGCATATTTCGGAACCCGGTGGGGTTAAATGGACTCATATTAGTAGATGATCCAGAAAAGACATCCGTAACTGAAACTGATCTCACCCTGTAAATGGGTCTATCATTCGGATCCATCCCTAAATATAGATTTTCTAAAATATATAATTTTTTCTTCACCACAAATATAGTCTATATGTACAAAACAATACACATTACCTTTAAATTCAAAAAAATATGAGAATTAGGAAAGAGTATAACAAAGATATATGAATGCAATTTCTAAACTGAAAGAGTTTGAAGATAAAGTCTAAATAAAGAAAAACATTATATAAAATTATATTGAGTAATTTGAAAATAAAATGCAAAATAAATTAAAATGATGATGATTGCGTAATTTTTTTGTAGCATAAGCGATGCGTCAAATTATTCCCTTATATTATTTAAAAAAATAAATAAAAATAATCTGTGTTTAATTTAGAACGCAATAAAATATAAAACATCTAATTTTCAAAGATTCTCTATTGAAGTCATACGGTTTTTATAATGATAAAATTCATCATTAAAGTTGTTTATGTGGAAGAAAGAAGATATGATGAATGGGATTAATCGGTTAAAAAAAATTCTATATGTTAAAATTATAAAAATGATTTTTATAAAATATATGGCCCGGCCCGGGTATTTAAAAGTTACAGGGTTTCCCATTCAAAAAAGGAAAAGACCCAATCAAAAAAAGGAAAAGGACCGATCAAATAAGAAAAGTGTCAATCAAAAAGGAAAAGTCCCAAAGGTTTAGGAAAAAGTCCGATCAAAAAATGAAAAAGTCCAATCAAAAAATTAATTTCTTGAAGATTTCTTTTGAATTAGAACTTTCAGCCTTTTAAGAAACCATTATAAAAGATATTTGATATTTTTTAAAAAATAATATAGTATATTTGTAATTATTATTAATGAATTAAAGAATTTTTTCCAAATTTCTTATTAATATCTGATTTGTAATGAAAATATGTTAGGATAAATTAATATTATTAGAAAAATTTTGGAGGGAATATGGTGAAATTAATAGTGAAGAGGAGATAATGAATTATAAATTTATCTATATTAAAATATTATTAAATCTAAAATTATATATATCGTAAAGTTATGCGAGAATAGAATGAGTTTTCAGGAATGCTTATAAGTGAGGATTTAAAAATATCTGAATTTTAAATCATTTTACGGTGAAGTTTTGTGGGGTAATCTTAATTAATATACATTCGATTTTTCGTTTAAATTTTAAAAAAATACAAAAATTTATTGCGTTTCAAAATTTATAGGATAGGTAGACTTTACAGATACATGAACATTTCCGGTAAAAAAAAGGAGTCTTAAAAATTACAAATCTCCCTCCTAGATGATTCAAAAGATCGATTCTTCACGTTATGATTCCAATAAGATTATTGCTGCATAACTGAGTTAGGACATGTATAGTACCTTTAAAAACAAAGAACACCTCATTGCATATATAAGAGTGGGAATATGAAAAAAGTCATAGACACGAGGAAGGGATTAAAAAAATTGGTAGCGTATCTTAAAGTAATATTGCTACTCTAGCATAGGTTTGAAGTGATAGAGATTATAAAACTGGTTAAGAAAGTGAGTTCCTCAGTCAAATAAGCTTGAATCTAGAAAATAATCGAAGAAATTAAGAAGTACATCAGAATCTTAAAACCTTGAGATAGGGGAGAGCCAATGGCTCAGGCTGGCATGGTATCGGAATTTTGATAAGTGAATTCGTCTTTTCTTTCAGTTAATTTAACATTTTGATATTTGGCATAATTTTAAATTAAAGATTTTATTAATCAGCGTTATACTTATTTCATGTTCCTCAATTCCCATCGAATTAAGCGATTATTTTCAATTTTCTTAAGCGTCGGATATGAAATATTTCCTTCATCAGCTTGTGATCTGTATAAAGAAAAATTCTTCAAAAAGAGTATGAAATTTTGGAAAGAAGGATTTTAAGGCGGCAACTTCTCAATCAATGCGAGTGTGTGATTTCTCCCCAATTAGTAGTGTACTAATTGCGCACTCTATCGGTCGTTCGCACTAATGGAATATTACTGCTTTCCGAATATGTCACAACAAGCTATCCAACTGATCTGTCCTGTTTGTTAGTATAGGATACTAAGGCATATTTTTTAGTCAAATTTTTTTAAACAGATTTTTCTTCTTCAAATATATATTTCCATACGGTACTTAGATACTTGTTTTATGTAGTTTAACAGCCTAACCCTACATTGAAATCCGCTTACATCTTTTAATAAATGAATCATCCGCTTAGGTTATAAATATTGTCCTAGGCTTGAGTTATCTACTTCAGACTGGTTTATTTTTGTGATGAAACACATATTTTGGAAAAATTTTATTTCGGATAAATTTTTTTTACAACACAGCTATTAAACCTAAAATTTATTTTAGTGTCTGTATATGTTTTCATTATCTGGATCCCGTAACAGCTACATCATCTAAGAACATACCTTTGGTAACTCCTTTGACAATTTTTCCTTTCAACGTTGAATAGTTGGAGAACTAGCTAAAGAAAGAAAGAAAGAAAGAAAGAAAGAAAGAAAGAAAGAAAGAAAGAAAGAAAGAAAGAAAGAAAGAAAGAAAGAAAGAAAGAAAGAAAGAAAGAAAGAAAGAAAGAAAGAAAGAAAGAAAGAAAGAAAGAAAGAAAGAAAGAAAGAAAGAAAGAAAGAAAGAAAGAAAGAAAGAAAGAAAGAAAGAAAGAAAGAAAGAAAGAAAGAAAGAAAGAAAGAAAGAAAGAAAGAAGGGTAAGAAGTATCACTAAAAATATGTATTAAAGGGAAGCATACTATCAGCTGTTAATTTATTCCATCTTCATACGTTGTTAATATTGATTCACTGTTAGGTTAACATTTTATCTGGCACAAAAATCTTCTCAACTTCAAACTCTACGAACGTTTATTTAAAACGTTGACAATGTGGGCAGATCACTCAGTCCAATTAGTCGTTAGTTCGGCATCGCATATCTTTTATTTCGCAAGTTTTTTTACTGGTATGGCATTTTTGACTACGCAGAGTAATACAATGATGTATATTTGCGTAGTTTTTTTTTATTTTAAAAATTATTATATTATGTGGTCATTGGCATAATTTTGAGACTGATTGTGAATCGCGCGTTGTCTTGTGTAAAGTTTATTTTATTTATATTATTTATATTTGTGATTGTGATTGTAATTGACATAATCAAGTATAAAAAGTGAAGAATTTTTTGTAACTTTACATTATTATAATTATCCCCTTTTTTCCTTGTTCTTGCTTTAGAAATAAAGTCGTTGCCAATAAAATAAAGGACTAAGAATATTAATTCAAAGTTTCTATAAAAGGGAGTAAATCTAAAATTTATGAAGCTAAATGTCTTTAGGGGGGACAGCAGTCCCTCTAGGAGTTGTATTTTCACTTAATTTATTTTCGAAAATTCCTTAAAATTCTTTCATTAATTCCTTCCTCCCTCCTCCCCATACTTTTATTTGTCTCATTAAGCAATAAATATTTTTTATTGGTTTGATAGTAGTTTTAAATCAAACACTAACAAATAATCCAAACAAGGGTAATTTATTGATATTGGCCGCAATAGTCGTTAGATGGTTTTCCATCGAACGGATTTTATTTTTTATTTCACATATACCTCTACTTGGGTAGGGGTTTTCCCCTGCCATGGGATTAGTTCTTTTTCCTAATTGAGGCTGCAAATATTGAATATAAAACCAAATTGACTCCTGAGTTTATACTATGACTGCCTTTTATTTATATACACTTTGAATTTTGCTTACTGTGCCTTACATGGTGATATCTGAAACTTTGCTCAATTTTTTTAATAGTATCCCCTTTTATCAAATTTCAACCCTTTCACCACATTTAAGGCATATTACTTTATAGGCTGACATGCTTTTCGTGCGCATATTCCCACCATTTATCATACGTTTCGTAATTTTTGTTGTAATTATTATTGTAATTGCTTCGGTCATTATTTTTTTTTATAAACTATCTTTCTTAATTATTTTTCATAACTTTTTTTTGTTTTTTTTGTAATTATTGTTATAGTTTATCATAATTGTTTTCAATTATCATCATTTTTTTTTATATATAAAGTGAGATATGCTCTACTTCCCTTATTTCAGGTATTTTTGCAAGAAATATATATAAAATATGTATAGTGAGTGTATGGGAGGAACTTAATACCATATAATAATACCTAGACGATTCATTCATAACCCTGCTTTCACAATTAGCACGAATTCGCGACGAAGTATACAAAATATGCTGTATTTTATAGCATTTTTATACATTTCCCCGCGAATTCAGACTGTGAATGCAGGGTAATAATGGAGCTAAAAGCGTCGTTGAATGCAAATCAGCTGCAGAACAAGTCACACGCCATTTTTGGTAACCTACAGAGGATCCAGAATATTTTAAATTATTAAAAATTTGGTCTACTAAATACTTATGAGAATAGCCTTGGAATAATTGTGGAGGCAGGAAAATTATTCGATTAATTTTTTTTATATAAACTATGCATAACCATAATGGCGTCCTCATCTGTTTTTTCATTGATATACACTTTTAATGCATTGTCAGTCTAGGTATTATTATTTTTCATTGAAGTGACTTCAAAGGTATCTAATAAATACATTCCTTTTTTTTGGCATATATTTTAGAGTAATAGCGATTTTTTTCCGAAATTAATAAAAAAATGTACGAATGATATAAAATATTCCATACACTTTCGACAAAAAAATATTGCATTATGCAAACATGATTTTTGAGTGATTTTCAAACAATTCGATTTTCATTATCAATTTATAAAGAAATTCAAAATGTTTCCCCATCATGGGTATAGTGGTATAAAAAGAATCATAGACTTGTGTGGGTTGACTATAGCAGTGTTGACAAGTCGAAATTATTGGATTGTGATAGATTTTAGCAAAAATAATGATAATTGGGAAACCCCCCTTTCCCCAGTCTTTAGTCTGGCTACAAAAGGGAGCCAATGAAACCTGTCAAACGTCCCGTTTCGATTCTGTCATCCTTTTACATCCCATGGAAAATTAGATATTCCGCAAAATAGTTTAAATTTTAAAATTCCATAAAATTATCAAAAATCATAAAATATCATTTATTTTTAAGAAACCAAAATATTTAAAAATTAGCTATAAATTATAATCATTTTTTATTAAATTTCTTCTCTTTGATGTTAAATTTTATGTATATTATATAAAATCAGTTAAAAAGATTCATTCATATTTTATCCAATCTCCTATTTTTACCGTCAAATTTGGAAATACACAAATGATATAAAAATTGACCTATCCTTTATTCCCAGCCAGGCGCGTACGTAGAGAGGGGGGCAGAGGGCAAATCCCCCCCCCCCCCAAAGCCAAAAAATGCAGATGCCGGATATATTTTTCAAAAATATTATTGTTTAGAATGTTGTGCAGATTTAATTTAAAACATTTCCATATTTTTAAATTCGTTTGTAAATAAAAATTTTAACTTTAAAAATTGATAAGAATATATAAATTTGTTATTTTAACAATTTTTTACAAGTCAGATAATTTTATTTTCAAATAAATTAATAAATATGGAAATGTTTTGAATTAAATCTGCACAGCACTATATATTAATTTATATTTGTTAATATTTATTCCTATCTCGTATTAAATATATATTTAATTACATTTATTATCACATTCATCACTAAGTTTATCAATTAATTTCGATTTCAAGTTTTCCGGCGTAATATTATCTTATTATTTTCAAATTTTTAGTGGCGTAATATTTTCTACCATTTTTAAATTTCTAGTCAAATAATAATTATTCTGAAATTGTCCAACAGAGAGAAAGAAATTGCACTTTATCCAACGAGATAGAGTCTCCGCCATCAAGCAGTAACAGCTTTTATGGAGTTAGAAAAGCCGATTATTTGCTATTACTGAAATATCAAATTTTTCCTTAGAAGCAAGAAAATTATTGGATTCAATGCTTATTCCAAATTTTTTTCTCATTAGAATGTATTATTTAATTATTCAACTATTTTATGTATTACTTTTCAAAAATATGATGACTTGATTAAGAAGATAATAGCGGAGAGCATTTTATTAGAATTCAAGGAAATTAGGGCTAATGTTTATGAAGAATTTCATATTTTATATGTTATTGTTAAGTCAAAAGCAGAGCTATACGTGTTTAATATTTGTTTCCCTCGACTTGCAGCAAGGCAAGCTCATAGTTAAAACATTAATATAGGATCAGTAGAAGAGTATATCTTAGATACAAATACATTTATAAACCAAATAAATGAATGGTTTTTAATTCATTATGCAGCACTTATCAATCTGCAAATATTATTTCCATAAAAACCTTCCCAACCTTTTTCAGATGGTGATAGAAAAAAAATATATTTGTTGGATTTTGATCATGAAGATGACAAAGTATCTTCCGATGCCTTATTAGCTGAATAACTATGTTTATAAGATTAACTATGGTTGATACAGTCCCAAAAAATGTTATGGATGCTCTGCATTATTTCAAACACATTTTAGATTATATTCCTAATGTATTAAAAGGGTTTATATATATTAGCAACTCTTCCCAATAGTAAACTAATGAGAGAACATTCTCTTTTTAAGAAGGATAACAGAGCCCTGCAGAGGTACCATTTGCATAGCACGGCCCGGATTTTTTTTTAAATTTTTACCGTCCAGCTCAATTTTCAGGTCGGCCCCGGCATTTTTTAAAATTTTTAGGCCCAGCCCGGCTTTTTTTAAAATCAAATTTTCAGGCCCGACCCGGATTTTTTTAAAATAAATTACATTTATTTTTGATTTTTATAGATAATAATAACGATTTCAAATATAGGCTGTTTTAAAATATACAGTCCGGCCATGATATTTTTTTTAAAAAAATTCAGGCCCAGCCCGGGTGTTTTTTTTAAATTTCGGGCCCGGCCATGCGGTCCGGCTCGGGGGCTGGGCCTGCAGGTCTCTGAAAAACATACCAAGAAGTACAACTTCTGAAAGTAGATTGAAAGGTTTGGATCTTTTGAATATTTATAGGTATTTGACAACAAGCAAGGATGAGATAATTGAAAAATTAGCTCAGTCCCAACGAATATTGGATTTTACATTGTAAATATATAACATACAAAATACAATTATTCCCTAAGAAACTTTTTGTGTATTAATTTATATTTCTAACATTTAAATTTTTTATACTTTATAATATAAATTTTAAAGGCTCAAAAATTCAAATTTTGGGTCATTTAAGTGATTCTTTACATATAATTTTTTTATAATTCACATTAATTTAAAATTGTGTATTAGAAATAGTTATTAGTCCTAATAAATTTATGCTTGATATTTTTAAAAAACAATAATATTTCTTAAAAAAAATTTATTATCCCCCCCCAGACCAAATTCCTGCGTACGCGCCTGCTCCCAGCATAGGATCCCGCAGAGCTGGCCCGTCAGCTCAATCTGCAGACTACTAGACCGAGTCGGTAGTAATATCATCAATAAAATATAGCCCGAAATATTTCCTATTTTTCATTTTTTTTTTGCATGATTGAGAATATTACATAATTATTTTTTTTTAAAAATTTGAAATTCACAGTGTGGGTATATTCTATACATGTTAGAAAACATTTTTGGTCAAATTTGATTCACAAAATACAATATCATTAAACGAATGATTTAAATTTAGAGATTTTGAATTCCTATGCATTTCCCGTTATAAATAGACCAGCAAAGGAGATTCTCTTTCTCAGACCCGTTTTAAATTATTATATGGTAGATAATTTTAGCTATATTTTATTAAATGTAATTGAAGGAAAATTGAATAAGAAATAACTGTGAATGTTCCATCAAATTTTTTTGACTTGTTATAGCGAATATCAACGGTTCAAATTTATCATTAAATTGGAAGATAATGGTTAGGTCTTTATAATAAATTCGGTTTAATTTTATTTATATAAATTACTATATTATCTCACTTTTTAAAAAATTTAAAAATTAAATAAGTAAACAATATTAAGAAGTTTCAGCATTAAAGTTCTTTAATAATATTTTGAATCTACTTATTTCAATTCTATTTTCCATTCCTATGTTGTTATTGGTATACTATTAATTAAAATCTTACCAAATATTATTTGCCATCCGTTTAGCGTGGTTAAATCTACAATTACACTATGTATACTATGCACGAAAAAATATTTAAATGTTACGTTTCAAAAGATACATGGAAACTATTTAAAAACATCTGATTTTTTTTAATTAACTGGTAAGTTTTCATTTACTATCACTATTAGCTAGAGGTTCAGTTTTTTGTGAAACACTATATTCTAAGCAAGCGATTTTATTATAAAGTAGTGAAATAGATAATCAAGCAAGATGATACGCTCTATATTGTGTATGCTTGATCATGGCATAAAAAAATGGAATATTCTCAAGGGGAAAAAAGAATTTTTTAATCTAATTTTAAACTGATTTTTATTATTCTAAAAATTAAACTGTTTCTTTCTTATATGCGAATAAATTTTTTATCAATTGTATAATAATGATAATTATATATAAGATCAAATTAAAATCAATCCACGGTTAGGTTCAGTCTTTTATGGTGCAGGCTTTAGGGTTCGGTTGAGTCTAAAAATCGGTTCCAAATTGAAGCGGACACAGAGGTGGCCTTCACTAACTGGGTTGATATAATTTGAATTTTTTTTTTATAGAATTCGGACTGATACGGGGTTTCAAGTTTAAAAAATTGATTAATTTTCCGATTTTTATTGGAAATCGCTTGCATTTTAATATGGAAGAAAATCCCGAATAGTTTGAACATGTTTTTAACTTTAGGTCAGACACAACATATTTCTCGGGAAATGTGATCCGAAAATAAATAATTGCAAGGAAAAGAAGCGAATTCTTATGTCATTTCTAATTATTCTATATTAAACGATAAGTTTTAATATTTAGTTACACTTTATAAAATATTAAAAATTAAATTTATACATCAACCAGGAAGAAAATTTTAGCGGCCATCCACTTATTACTTTTATCTGAATAACCCTGCATTCAGAATTAGAGCTTCGCGACGAAAGCATACAAAAATGAATGTAAGATTATTATATTAAATATCACATATTTTGTATATTTCGCAGCGAATTCGCAACACTGTGAATGCAGGGTTAACAAGGTTTTGTCAGCTTTGCGAAGTTCCATAAAGGACGGGTCGGGTCGTAAACCACCGCGCAAAATGAATAAATATATTTGGTCCTTTTTTTAAAAAAATTTTTACAATTTAATAACGGGTTCTAAAAGATGTCTCATTTATATTTAATTATAATTATAATTATACTAAATTTGGTAATTTATAAATAAGATTTTAAAATCAATAAATTGATGGTTTTTTTTGTTTCATTTTAAAATAAAAATAAAAAATAATTTCTCAAAAAAAAAATATGGAAAAAATACAAGATAATTTAATAACAAAAAATAAATAAATAATTTTTTTAAAAAAAAAAAATCAATCGATAAAAAAAAATAAAATTTTTAAATAAAAATTTTAAAAAATATTTTTTATTTTATTTGTAATAATAAATTATTCGAGTGAAATAATATTCTTAAGATTTATCATTTTCCTGAATTTCTTAATCACCTGGGATTTCAATATTTTTTTCTTATAACTTATATTGATTGATAATATCTCATCTTATGACAGGTAATAATTATATTATTTTTATTATTTTTTTTTTTGGTTATAAATTTAAATTTATTTATGTCCTTATTTAGAAGGAAGGGTCGTGATCATTATTTTCAGCTGACAGTTGGTTTTGAATCCAACTCCATACGGAATTTAAAATTGAACAAATTCGATTTTTGTTATTTATAATATTTATTAAATACTCTACTTAAAGTAGTACATAGATGCATTAATTGCTATAGTCTTAAGTCAGGACCGCTAAATGACATTTAGATCATTCCTTGACAGCTGATAAATTATTATGCCGTTGAAAAGTTATGAGTTTCTTTCAAGCATTTTATTAAATGATAAATTTTATTAACACGAATCCAGCAGTGTGACTGATTAACGTCCCATAAATTATTTTAAGTAAAACATTTCTTTAATGGATGTATGTCCTAGGGGTTTCAGCATATTCTAATATGACTCATAGACCCGAGGTTTTTTTATAGAAAATTTTTAAAAAAAATCAAAATCATATTTAACACGCGTTTCTTAATTTTGATATACCCAATTTTGAAGGAGTTCATATTCCAGCACATATAAGGTACCCACTCTGCGAATTTCAGACAATTTCCTAATTAAACATTTTGAGTATTATAGTGTTCTATGTCTATTTTTTAAAATTGTTCAGGGAGCATTTCAAAAAAAAAATTTTTTTCTTGCACACACTATAATAATGCAAGAATAATTCTCAATTAAATTTTAAACATTTTTATTCTGGATATATGAGAATATAATACATACTTAAGAATACATTTATCATCAAAAAAAATCACCATGCAAGAAAAGTGGATATAGAACACTATAATATTCAGCCGACGGTATATAAAAAATGTATATATTTCGCGGCAAATTTTTCTGAATTTTAGTATGGTAGGGTACTCGTCTATACACCCAGAAATACGTTTCCAAAAAAAAAAATTATTCTCAAAATTTATCAATATTAGGGTTTTTAATTCTCCCTTATCCGTTAGTTTCAGTATATCCCGTTTGCCAATTTTCTTTCTTAATTTAATTTTGAATAGAGGATTCTATTCGGAAATGCAGATAGAACACTTTTTTTATGTTAAAAAATATATCGATTGAGGCATAGGTAAATGTGTATCCTTTCTTATTTTTCTTAATCTAAAAATTATTTTCATTTGAGACACATAAAAACGAAAAAAAAAACGAGAAAGTAGTTCAAATATTTTTTATGCGGGTTGCTCTCTGAAATCGGATAAGTTGAAAAAGGAAAGATTTATTAAAAATAAAATTTTAATTTTATATACCAAATTTATCATATGTTTTATTATGTTTATAATTTCGCAGACTTATCTAAAATGGGGGATTCTCCCCACCCCCGTAAATTTTGAAATTTTTTTCTTTAATATCGTTTATGCATAGGTGCCAATGATATGAAGGCCAATATTTTGTACAGGTAAGGATGTCAAAAAATCCAAAATTATATAAAACTAAATATTTTTATTTTATATTTTATGTTATTAAATTCCATTTTTGATGTTTTAATAATTTATTATTGGCAAGTGAGTAATGATCGGGCCATTTATTATTATTTATATATTTTTTTTTACTATGAAAAATTAAAATAAAATAAAAAGCTAGTCTTAACTAGCTTTTTATTTATCTCACTTACTTATTTATAAATTAATTCCTTAATATAAAAAATATTCCGCTAGTTGACATATTTTAACCAAAAATTCATGTTTGTTTATAAGTTTATTGAATAAACATTAAAAAATATATGAATTTATTCTAATTTTAGATTTGTTCTTCGAATTTCTGAAAAATTTTTTTTATCCTTCTTAACCCTCCTCTTATAAATATATATATACATACATATATAATTATAATTTTTAAAATATGGCTAGATAATTTAAATTTCGCAGAAATAAAATTAAAATCAAAATTAATTTTCAAAAAATATGACCCCCAGACAAAGTTCAAAGCGCGCCATATGTGTTCCTATAAGACCTTGATGACAGAAACTACAACCTCTCCCCTTACAATCCTCTATCGCGAAGTAATAAAATTGTCTGATAATACATGACATTTGAAGAAGAAAAAAAATTAAATATTGCCACGAACATTTAATTCAATATTTTATAACTTTAAATAGTATAATAGTAAAGTATTAAATATTTTATATAATGTTTTTTTTTATATAATCGTCACATTTTGTTCCAATATTATATAACCAATTGAGGAATTAAAATATTAAGTATGATAATGATAATCTTAATGTTTAAAAAAATTAAAATATATTTAAAAAATTTCGGTAAATTTAATTTTATAAAAAATCTCAAAATGATGATTAACATCGGAAAAACTGAAAATGAATATTTTTCGTATTTGCATCCGATTATAACGCTATTGGCATAGGAGTAGCCATGATATTCGTAGAGAGTTTTATTTTTGACCACAAATTAATTGTTTTAGGCACTTTTTTTTTGTTGGACTTTGGCGAATTTCATTTATTTTTATAAAGATAATTTTTTCCTCTATTTTAATTTATTAGACATTTTTTCCAAAATTTTTTTTTAACTTCTACCTTTTAAAAAATATATAAAATAAATATTGTTTATAATTACATAATGTACTCAATTTGGTGGAGGAGGAAGATGGCAGAGGAGGTGTGTTATAGGGCGGGTGTAGGAAGATAATTTTTATTCGCTTTAAAATGATATTTACGAAAATGAGCAAATTTGCTAAGAGTAGAGGAATTTCCTACATCCCGCTTATCCTTCTTGGTTGGATTATTACTGTTCAGAGTTATATAATTAATATCATTGATGTGAAATCTGTCTCCCTAGTTATTCTGTTTTTATGGGATATTCTTATTGCCGATAGGCCAATTCAAAAACGAATGAGAATCATTATTCGTATTTGATCTATTTTGAACGAATCGAATAATTCACTATTCGCAGTTGACCAATCAAATAAGAATAGTATATATTATTATTCTACAAACCACGAATAATAAATTGTTCGAATCTTTCAAAAGAATCGAATACAAATAATTCGTTATTAGATCCGCATAATTGCCCATAACTGATAATTATATCACGGACCTTCTCGTATTAATTTATTAAATATTAGTTATTTAATTACACCTGGTTAATAACCTGCGACCTCCTATTTTTTTGGAAATATGATAGCATTTCTAAACATATTTTTTTTTAAAAAAATTACATGTTTGAAAATATAATAATAATTTCCAGATCATTCTAATTAGAAGTTAATTATCCTTTTTTTTCGGTGATGATTATCTCAATGTTACATTCATCCTTCCTTCCTTTGTTGTTCGAAAAATTATTTGGAAAAATGTGCAAATTTTCATAAAAAGAAATTATTAATATGAATATACATAGTAATTAGTATTTATTTATATAATATACTATATATAAATATCCAGATTATAATAATCTCCCAAATAAAATTATGGTAAATTAAACAAATTACAAAAATAAAGAGTAAATTATAATTATACCGTCAAGTTAAAATAATATTTTATCCTAAATAAGTTTTAAAATTTTTTTTTCAAAATTCAACAGTAAATAAAAAGAGAGATAAAAATAATAACATTTTATTTTTGTTAATTTAGGTTAATTACTAGAATATAATTCCTTCTCTCATTAAATATTCATTTTTTTTCCTATTCAGGAATAGGCATAGGGAAGAAAGGGAAATGCAACCCCCCCCCCTCCCGACAATTTTTTCTTATAAATATCACGCAATTAAAATAGGTCGCCTTCTAAATTAATGTGTTTAAATAATTTTATTAATGGAATGAAAGATTTGACAATAATTCAGCCCACCAGATCTGGAGAAGAATATAGCGTGTTTTAAAGTAATAAGAAGAGAAAATCAGAGACTACTGGATAGGATCGAAGCATATTATTACTGAGCCTACACCCGAAAATTGTTCAACCATTTTTGTTTGTTCCCAAAGTTTAAACCAATAACCAGTGCCGTAACAACCAAAGGTGGGCAAACACTCTGAAGGCTACTAGACGCCTCTTGGAAACCGTTTGCATGGGGAGTCAGCAGCATCATTGTTAGACCACTGACAATTCTTGCTTTACTTACTAGTATGACTTCAACCACATTATTTTTGTATGGGCTTATGCAAAATAAAATATTTTTAACAGGGAAATCATTATTTTTTTCCCGTTAAATACATGTCAAAAATTTGTTTGTTAACGATGCCCCTGATTAAATTTTTTTTAATTTCATATCAATTAAATCAATCATATTAAGTAGGATAAATAATTATTTAATTCAAGAATGGTGGGGGGGGGGGGAAGGGGTGCCAGACGTAACCACGTCAGTGAAAATCTTAGAAGGATAGGAAATATTTTGATTCTATCATAATTTTTTAACACAATCCCGTTCAATATAGGGTATAAAGTATTTTTCTAAAATGTTTTTCCCAATAATTTTAGTGGAGCAGTGCAAATTCTATTTTATTATTTTATTTTTAAGCCAACCCGAAATTTATACTGAGGCACGGCTTGGCAAATTTTTTATTGATTGAAGAATTTAAATTAAACGCATTTATATAAACATGAATAAAATCACTAATTAATCTAATTCCAAAAAAATAATCTTAATTATCATTTTTATTTTAAACGAAGAAACTAAAACAAACATTCATATAACTTAAAAAAGAATAAAGGGATTTATCAGAATGGAGAGGGGGGGGGGATATTTTTAAATTCTGCGTCATTGAAGATCGCGCGAATAACCAGAGGGGGATACTTATTGTCCTAAGCTCAAGATGTTCAGGGATTAACTTATCTGTTGATGTATAACCATAGGTGTAGACTTGTGTCGAGATTGGGGTGGAGGGGTGGGGGGTTTATTCGTTATTTATGTGAAAAACGAATAAAATTACATACATTTTTATTGAAAGATTTTTAAACGGATTTTACATGAAGTATACTATATATAACAAGTATTTTATTTCGAAATTT